GTGGAGATCGTTCTCTATTTCAAGCGCCGGGTACTGCTTCGAAAATTTGCTAGCCTTTCATCGTTTTCATCCATTCGCATAACCTAATAAGCGCAACCACTGCCACTCAATTCCCTGAAGTACGCCAATGTCGTCCTATATTTTGTTTTATCGTATGCGGTATTCGTCTTTGCTTAAAAGCATAAGGCAACTTCTTTTCATGCTGGCGAAGATTAATCTAAAATCTACATACAGACGATCCTTCTTTAGACAGGTATTTGATAGGATTTCTTATCCAATTTGATCGGTTGGAGGTTCGTGTTCACTATCTCCTTTTCCTTCAGAGCTGTAGAGTATGATCTGGAGTTGAAACCGCCGCATTTTGTCACAAGATTTTTGATTTGCAGGTTCCCAGGTCCTTTACACTTTCGCATTTCTTCAGATTTTGGTATCTACCCTATCCTGCACTCATCGCTGTCGATCTCACCGTTACTAAGTATACTGTCTCTTTTCTCTTGACTATAGTTGACATTCCTTTTCGGATCAGCTCTGGTTCTTACAATGTCGAAAAGCAATGGTCTCTTTGGGAACAGTTCATAGGCAACTGGAATTGCTGCCCCGTAGCTCGCTTACACCGAGTTGCTGATGAGTGCTTTCAACGCAAGTCGAGTAGTAAACCATCTGGTTGTCTTTTGTGAATGCCCCTTTTCGTCGTCGAAACTTTCAAATGTTTTTTGGCATGCGTTCTTTGTTGCAAAGAGGCGGGTGTTGTTCTTTGCTGCTAGAATCAATTACAACAGGCAACCATATTTTTTACCCCAGCGTAGTGGATCAGCCTCAATCAAATTGGAGAGGTCTCATCGTGGAGGCTAAATTTTCCTAATGATGCGCCATAAACCTCAGCCTGACACCAAACACAATTTTGACATCACTAAGCGTCAAGCGGACACAAAGGGCATAGTTATCCACCCGGTCCTCCTCTTTCATCGGAATGTAGGCACAAGTCAGAGATATGTTGAAGAATTTCGCTTTGATGCGGATTGTGCCACTAGGGTAAATGACAAGACTCAGGGAATCAGTCTTTCGCTCCTTACTGTAAGAAATGTCATAAGATCCTATCATTTTCCTTTCTTACGTCGTCCATTGCAACTCATGGACGGCAGTGATGTCAGTTTTAATTTTACGAGGACATCAGTCAGCTAGGCAGCGGCACCTTTCCAATCAAGGAATTGGACATATCAACTGTATAATCTTAAATCATTCTTCTCAAAACTTTTGTAGGGGTCGCCATCGAAATTGGGGCTCGTTATTTCGAAATTAATCTTGTTTCTGTATGGCGCGTTAAAAGTTGAGCGTAAAATCTCACTGCGGGAGTTGGGTTTAAACGAGAACACATTTATGAAGCTTTAAAACCAACGTCCGCACCCAGCCGTATATCTGACGAACAGACAGCTAAATAAGACTTAATTAAATAAGTTTATTGGAATGGTTTTACCAGAGCCCCCTATTTATTAGCCGTCATTTAAGCTTCCACACTGGTTGGTTGCCGCAAGTGGTAAAATTTCGGCAAATATTTTAATAGCTAAAGCTTTCTTAACGAAAAGCCTGTGAAGCTCCACAAAACACTGTACCACCTACATTAAGTAAAATGACCAGCCAGCCGTGCATTAAGTCATAATAAATTATTCAAAAAGAAAGCCTTAACGCCAAACCACCTGTCAGCCATGTCAGCCATCAAGCCAAGTTGTAGAGTGGTTAACCAGCAACAATCGAGGAGCCTAAACTTTTCCTAACACTTAAGCCACAGCAGGCAACGAACGATAAGGGTAACATTGGGGTTTGAAAAGGACGTCAGCTGAGCGGTGTCCCTCTGCCTTTCTCTTGACTCACTTTCCTTTTCCATTCATTTGCTGCTTGCGCATATTGTATTTAGCATTTGTGTACTTTTTTTGTTGCGCCCTCGGTACGAGCATTTTCTTTAATACTTCCACCACACATTGGACTAATTACAGATTCACTGCTGTTTACACAACACCACGTCGTGGTCGTCGCACATTGTGTGAGTACGCGCCGCCCGACGAAACGTACAACGCGACAGTACGACGCATCCGGCAGTTGGACAGCAATAAGGAACTGACAGCGCTGGTTGAAAAACAGTTGAGGTGGAGCAGCAGCACGAATAGCAGAAGGGTTGACGTGCGTAAAGGTACAAGCAAAAACAGCAGCCGCAAAGGGTGCTGCGGACGCAAAGGATTGCCTGTAAGCACCAAGCGGAGCACGGCTCTCGCAGAAGAAGCAGTAACAGACAAATACGAGTGGCCAGCAAAGCAACAAGCACTGAACGATAGTACTGACGTCAATGTTAATGGCAAATGGTTAGTCTTCAATGATTGTTGTGTAGTTGATGTTGATGTGGATGACGTTAGTGTTATAAGTGACAGCGCAGAGAAAGTGAAACTGTCACGTAGTAAACAGCAAAATAATAATAAAGAATTGCAAAAGAACAAGCACACACAAGCGTCGAACAAGCGGCGAGATAGTGGGACGAGTGCTGTTTATCTAGACATAAAACAGGCGGTAAGCTCCCGTCAAAGTAGTGCAGTCCACGGAACCGCAAGTATCACGTACGTTAAGCGTACTCGACAACATACGGACCCGCATAGTTATAAGAGTCACACACACACGCTTAGTGAAAGACCTACCCTAGGCACCGCTGAAAGCTTTCTACGCTTAGCCTGTGCTTACTATGAAAAAGACTTTCTGAGGCACATAAACTATCTCCAGTCGATTGGCTCACGAAACGCGGCACGACGCGCGCCAGCAACCAGCAGCAAGTCACAAGCGACAAGCGCAAGCAGTAACGACGAATCGACAAACGGTGGTGAGTCTATAACAAGCAGTGCGACCAACACTCCGCCGCTAGCGAATACGCCACGTTTGCGTAGCGCTGAGGGTTACTTTCATTTGACTTCGCTCCTGCAACGCATCGGCCGCAAGCGTAGTTTCAAAGTCGGCTGCACAAACGGTGAGAATCACAACTCGTGCGCGATACGCGTCAATATTAAACCGAATTTCAGTGGACCTCCAAAAGTAAGCTCCCGCAGCAGAAACACAGTTAATAAGAGCCAGGAGGTGACAGAGGCGGCAATAGTTGGGTCGGTAACAGCGACACCAGCGACTTCTCAGTCGGCGTCCACTCTACATGGTCGTAGCATGAACGATTACTTGTATGCCAATTTGCCGACAGCAAACACAACATCAAACAAAATAAGTACAACAACACCACAAACCACTGAGTCAGCCCGAGCTCATTTCCATGAATTAATTGATCATCTAATGCAATTAGAGATAAGTGACATTGATGCGTCATTGCCGAAAATTACATTAACAGATTGTTCCTCAGTGGGTAGTGGCGCTTTCGAGGGGTCGCACGCGCCTGTTGATGTAGTACAACGTACAACCGACGATAACGCATTCGCATTTGAATTTAATAACGCTTACCAAAGCAACAACTTTAGTGCCTACAACAACAAATACGCGGCCACGCAACAAACTGAACAAAAGCTTCACGAGCCATTAGTGCAATCTACAACACGTCATAACGGTTTCACGCTTAAGCAAACGAAATTCATCGGCACCTTGCAATCGAGTCTCGATATACCCGACGAAGGTTTCTACTATAACGGCGAGGCGAGGCCACCGTAAAAGGTGAGTCCCGAAGTGTTAGTGTAGAGTTTGGATTGTGTTCTGAATGAGACTATGTGTGAAAAAGACAGCCAAACTATGTTCAAACTGCGATTGCTCTCTGAGTATCTGTTTCATAATGAAGTCACACCGAAACATTAAGTCCATCAATCAATTTTCTTCTAAATTTCGATTTTGGGTTCGAAGGTAGTTAAGACTAGTTTCCTTTGTTCGCAATAAGCCATTGCATTCCTTTCCGCTTCGAGCGCCTTTCTAGCGCCTTGCTCCATCTTTAGTAATCCACAAGACTAAACCTGGTTAAGGGGTCTAGTTTCAGTGGTTTGGTTTTAATTGCCAGTACCAAAACCCCTTCATTACTAGAACTAAAATATATGTAGTTCATATTTTGAGGTCCATGAATGTAATCTTCGTAAAGCCCTTTCCCTAATCTCAACGATGGTGGAAAGCAAAACCCGTAATGCCGTCTACTCGTAAAACTCAAACAATTCCAAAATTGCGGAAATTATACGGCGAGACTAAACGCAGATCCTGATCTCAATGTTTCTTGACATGGCACATATGATGTCAAAGTTCGTCGAAGGTAATATTCCTCTACGGAAGTAAGCTTCTGCTTAAGTTACTTTTATCAATTTAGGACACAAGTCCGTCGTAGAGAAATTTAAGTAGTCACATTGAGCCTTCAGTTGATAGTATTAAACAAATGATGCAAGCCAGTAAAGGTAAGAGTTAGTAAAGTCCCATTTTCGGGTATGGAAATCTTCGAAGCTCCCTATAAGAGTGTTTTCATAGCAAATGTAAACTCGAGATGGAAGAGTTTAAACTGTTGCAAAGGTGACCAGGTTAATGTGGCCAAACTTGGAATAAAAGAAGGTCGGGACAGCTTTTCTCACTTAAAGAAATGAAATATTTACAATTAGAGCTCTTTTTAAGAGACGCCGGTAGACTGGGCGTACCTTCAACGATTTCTTCAGGTGTTGTCCAGAGGAGAAAGGACTTAAGCCCTTGGAATAAATGGATTTTGTGTAGAGAGTGAGGAGTAAGTGGAAGTGTCTAGTGCGGAACACCGGATTTTTAGAGAACCCTTTTCTCATATTCAATATACACTATGATTTATTTTCATACCACTTTCAGGGTACATAAATTCGACGGTCTTTATTTCCTTCGTCTGCATGGGTCGATATTTTTTTAAAGCCAGACTATTTAAGACTAGTTCTTATGGAATACACTACTGTGCTAAAATATTTAAGATTCACACCTAACTATATGTAAAATGAAATAAATCTAAATTCCTTCTGTTCACTCTTCTCTTCCCACAGCCTTGCCGATATTATTTTCACAACTCAAGTCAAGTGTCCTGCCACTTCACGCAACTTAAGCACAGCAACAAACTCTTCAAACACTCGAGGATAAAACTTAAAAAATACAAATAAGCGAAGCGAAAAGAAATCTGCGAACGAATTAATCTCCGCACAACAATAAGATCCGCTTTTCGTGCCGTCATCTTTTGTCTATCAACTCTCAAGTACGGCTTGTCAAGTGCTTTCGACGAAGTACCGCCATCGATACCACCGATAACATTAGTGTTGTTGTTGTCAATTGACTTTTTGTTATACCTTTTGTCCAGAGCTTTTTGTGTGCGCGCGCTTTGTCGTCGCTTGTGAACAATGGTTGCAATCGAACATCGCCAAAAGTCATCGACAGCAGCAACAGCAACAGCCACAGCGACATCATCAGCAACAATCAATATAGCGGTATTATCGCCAACATCGTCCGCCTCGTCAGCATCGGCTGCTTCGAATACAACTACAACGACCACATCGAGTATACAACAAACTCAACAACAGAAACAAGAACAACAACAACAACAAGTAAAACAAGTCGAGAAGCCACAATTGTTGGACGGTGAAGACGAAGGTGAAGTAGAAGCAGTAGAAGAAATATTGAAATCGAACCAGAAATCACCAATAAAGCAAAAATCATTGAAAATGTCCCAAGTGGAGCCACCCGCCGAGACGAAAAGTTCGGAGAGCAAACAACTTATGGTTACCAGCACTGCCGGTGCGGTGTCGAAGAGTGCCGTTAGTCAGCGCAACGTCGATATAAAAATTGCCAAAAAATCCAATTTAGACGTAGCCACCAAAGAGCTAACGAAGAAGGTACTCAAGTTGGATTTAACGGGGAAAGAGTTGGATGAGTTTTCCATCAAATCACCCAAATCGCCAATAGGTAAGTGATATGAATACTGAAGAAGTTGTAATTCCAATGGTCGCAAATATTTCTTTGGTGGATATAAAAGTCTAAAATTTAAAAGTGAGGTTATGTTTAGGACATAAGAGCAGAATTTACTTAGAAACCTTCCATCGTTAAACCCAGCTCCCAAAGCCTGTTAGTTTTTAAAGAAGCTTTTATTTTCATTCCAGAGTACACTTCGAATGATTCCTTGCCATGTTGTTGGTTTAAAACGAGTTCAAATCTATTACCCTCCAGCTCATAACACACAGCTACCCTTTTTGGTTGGTGAAGCAGGGTATATTTGTTTCCATTGCTTTTAGCTCCAACAGATATTTAAGCTTGATAAACGAAATTCTTTCCGATATTCCACTGCACATATTTCTATACTGCGATAACTTACAAGTCGAAATATTTACTTACGTAGACACTCGTAGTCGAGGGGTCGGTCATTAAGATTTTATAATATTATTCCACGAACTACGGAAAGGTTCGCATTTACTGAGTACGGGAGCGTAAGGACGTCGAGGGCTACGAGATTACCGATAAATTGGCTAAAGGTTGGGTACTTTTAGAATAGGATGTGGTCATGGGCTTGTAAGCTCCACTCAGAGAGCTGTAACTTTAACAAGAAGCACTGTTGTGTCGTCATGTCAGTAGATTTTGGACATGTAAAATATTAACGATTTAAAATATTGGAAATTTTGTGCAAAGTTTAAAAATCAACTAAGTCTTTTGGTTAGATTCTACACTACTGAGAGGTGGTGTTCTTGGGACGGTTGCAAGTATAAATATTCGACAAATATTTTGAGAAGAAAAGAAAAGATCCAGATATTGATAGTCGAAGGATCTTATGGAAATAACACATACAAAAAAGTGTCGCATGGGGTTATTGGGTTATTATTGGTCTTTCACTTAGGAGTGGCCAGAAACGATTATCATCCATATTGTTCGAACAGCTCACCGCTGGGTACCCGACCCAATACCTAAAAAATCTTCACCAGTGAAAGATATACAGGAACCCTCATATATACGTATGAGTTCCCTTTTGATGGTAACAATGAAAAAATGGCGGTGGTAAGGCCAAATGCCAAATTTACAGTTTCATTAACACTGCCTAAGACCAAGCAAAGTTAGTGTATGTCATCGAGGTCATCTAATGAGCTGTTTCGATGAATGCGGACCGGAGGGAATGCTAGATAATTGTGATTTAATGGACATGCAAAGGCAGGCCGTAATTTGTTACACGAGGTGGTTGGATATCGTGCACGCCATTTGCAGGAAAATAATTCATAAAAGTGCTCAATGGTGTCTAGGGCTTGACAGTATGTCGTTCTGTTCAGCGGTTCCACTCTGTGGTACTCTTTTCTTGATGTTTCTAGCTGCCAGCTCGGTATAGGCATATATTATGATTCTTAACTGGAAGCATAGATATGTCAATGTGTAAATGGGTCATATGAGACATCAAGAGGCTTCTACAATAGTTACAGACAAGCTCGCCGAGAGTATGACAGCTCCGGTGAAAGATCGGTGGAGGAGCACGATGTGACCAAAAATATTTTCTATTAGGCAAGATGTCAAAACAGTGCTTGGTGACTTTAACGCTATGGCAAGCAAAGAATGTATCTTCAGCAAAATATTCGTGGAATTCAGTTTCCATGATGAAGCTTCCACAAATGAGCTTCGGTTGGTCGACTTCGCCGAGACACAAAATAACGTTGTCTATAACACCAGATTCAACAAACTACAAGACTGTCCTCGTATTTCGGCTGCGGTATTCGCAGATAGACCAAATTATCTATGAGTGATATGGGAGCCAAGACGCAAATGCACTGATGGTTTGCTAGATGGCAGGAGATATTTCCTATTTGCTTCGCTTCATTGTCTTATTTAGAGAAAGGAGAAATGGCGACACAGTGTATAATAGGTTTGTTCGACTAACGGTTATATCTAACGGCATAAAACAATCGAGATAAATGAGGACACATATAATATAGAAATATATCAAACTCCATGGGATAACGAGACGAAATGATTTAGCCATATCTCTATGTCGAAAATATTAGAGTGAGTATGGAACCATCCACTTTTGGGTCAAAAAGTGTATCTCACAAACCACTAGATAGAATGCACTAAAATTTTATACTTATAATTCCCACGATCTAGTATGAACAAGGCTATCACATTCTTTACTCCTCGTTTGACTTAAGATCCAATATTTAAGGCTTCAATAAACACAACTCAACCAAACTAGATAGTTATGCCAAATTTAATGCAATCAAAAGAACCAAATCCTTAACAAAAAGCTGCTCAGATAGGTCCAGAAATAGACCTGCCTATCTTATAACAGACCTTAAGTTCTTGATCGATCTGTATCCTTAAGATCGAATATCTAAGGAACTCATCGGAAAATGTGAATCTCATTTGGTGAACATATATGATAAGCCTGGCTTTCAAAGAAATGGTCGTTAGTTCTTCTGTTAAAGTCAGATAAATCATTTGGCTATTAATATGATTATCAGTCGAGTATCTAATGTTCCGTTCCACCCGAACATGGTCTTCCAGGCTCATTTAGTTATACTTTTTTTATTATTCTCCTACTATTGCTCATATGGTCCCCCTTTCATTTCAGCGCGCTTACCGCATCAAACATCACTCACCTCCTCTGTCGATGTGGAGGATCGCAAAACGTTACGTGAGGCCTTATACCAGGGTATATTTCATCGTCATCGAAGAACCATATTCGCCGTAGGTAGTTTCTTACGAATGTTACGCAGTCGCAATTCCCAATACAACACCATACGTAGCTCCTCGGAGGGTGAGGATGTGGATGAGGTTGTTAGATAAGACAATGATAAAGTGTAGACAAAATATATCTACAGCTACACATACACACATACATATATATATACAGTTATAAATAAAAAAATGAGCGATAATGTATGATATGTAAACAAGTATATAAAAATAATAATATATATATAAATATGTACTGAAGTGTGTACCCACATACATACATATTTAGTATAGAAATGATATGTAAACATATGCAGGTGAGCGTTATAAAAGGACAAAAAGAAATGTTACTGTTAACAAATATATACATACACATGTAGTTGCATACAAACATATATATATATACAAATGAAAAGTCATGTAGAAAGATATGATATATTGTAGTGTGTTGGTAATATGATTATGATGGCACACCTGCAGAAATACAGAAGAAAAGCAACAAAAAAAAAACTAGAGGAGCCAACTGCGTTGCCACAGCCATAGATATGTACAAGCAGATATATGCACCTTTACAAATATGAATGTACGAATGTTATTAGAACGATAGCGGAAACCCTAAATAAATAAAGTGAACTGAAATACAAAAAAAAAAAAATTAAAAAAAAAATAATTGAATTAAAAAATATAGAAAATCGATTTTTGCCCAACAAAAGAAAGAAATATATTTCAAATGACAATTGAATATAAAAAAAATAATAAATCAAAAAAAAATATATATTTAAAATAAAAAATAAAATTTTTAATTGATATTAAAAATAAAAAATATGAAAATAATATTTTATTTTCCCTTCTAGCCTCTCCTATTTATTTGGCATAAATTAGTCCATAGCTTCGTTACTAAATATTTAAATAAATAATACCATCGTACGCAAAAGTGTATAAAACTAAATTAAACAAAATTAAAAATTTCATAATTGTAAGTATGTATACTATTTTGCATGATTCAGTAAAATTTTTAAGAAATGTCATTTTATAATTGCAAAATCGCTTGCTTTAATATACAAACACACATACATATATATAAAATATAAACATGATATAAATTTATATATATTTGTAGTTCTTAGTTTTCTTACGACGAAAAATCGAGCAAAAAAATAAACAAATAAAACAAAAAAAATTAAATTTAATGAAATAATAAACCAAATAAACAGGCAAATAAAACAAATAAAGAAATATTTATGTAAATATTGTTAAATAAAAATGAAATATGAAGATACATAAATATATAAATATATAAATGATGATAAATAAGGTAATAAATGATATGAGCATATGAGTAAATAAATAAATATATAAAATATTTTAAATAAAATGCATACATACCTTACTAATATTGTATAAATTTGTTATACGCGTAGTTGTCAAATGTATAAGACAGAACGAGTTTTATTATATACATACATGGAAACAGGCAAACAAACAAACAAACATACAAACCCACATAAATACCTACTATTTTTCAACAAAAAAAAAAAAAAAAGAAAATAAAAACAATTTTGCTTAACACATTCCGTATAAGCCGAATAACCTCGAATTAGTTACTTACATACATAACAAATAAAGATATAAATAAATAAATAGATAACTAATAAAAATTATCATTTTTTGCATTTCTTATTTGATAAAAATAAATTCAAATAACACTGGCGCAAGTATTGTCTGCATGTAGGTGTGTCAGTGCGTATGAGTAACCTCTGTGAATATCGAATTTTGTTATTTCAATTTTGTTGTAGTTTAGATTAAAGAATTTGTTTGTGGTTAGGTAAGCGATTTCCGACTGAATTTTTTCTACCATTTGTCGTGTTTGGCATTTTTTTTCTAAGTTTTCAAGCTACTGTATGATTTTTTACGAACTTTTTTTTCATGTTAGAAACACATTCGCAGGATCTAACATTCCCTTCCAAAGTTATAATTAAAAAAAAATATTTTTTTTTTGTATGTTGATCTGTCAAGTATTCGATCCACAAAATTTTGGCCTACAACGCCGTTGCCGACGTCTCCATTTAAACGATCATATGCATGAAGGTGAATACTCAGTTTTACTAAAATTAATTTTGCATTTTTTTTTCACTACTTCCTATTAAGCAAAGCACTGTCGGTCCAGCAGACTGATCTTATAAGCGCTACAACGATTTCTGATATAAACTTCTTTTCTCACGGTATATCTTTATATATATTGCAATGTTGTGTGCGAAAGGAACACTATATCTTTGCAAATTTGCTTCGGTTACATTCAAGTCAACTTTGGTTAGATTTCAAGGCATAATTTTACCTTTCCTAGAAATGGTTAACTTATAGCAAAATGAATACAAATTTCTGTTTTATCAGAATGAATATTCTTCTCACATACCGAAGAGATTTGTCAACCATTTAACAAAACCGTCTCATCACTATAGCGTGTCATAGTAAAGAAGCAATAATAGCCGTTGGATTGTTGTCTTAATGTGACTGACTGTGGGTCCAGTAATAATATATCCTTAACTCTCTCCTCAAATTGCACTCTTCAAGAGTCCGTATAGATTTCAATAACTATCAGCTGGTGTGTTACAGTTTCAAACAAATTTTCCTTCCTAATGTTGTAAAGATTCTCGAATTTCTGACTGATTTCTTTTCAACAGTTTTCTCGTTCATTTTTTCCTTATACCGATAAATCGAACCTTAATGGAAGAGTTGGAAGAAGAATACCTCAAGGCAACCATCTTTCGAGATCTTTTCAGGCTACTCGATCATTGCAGTGTATTTTTGACTAAAATTTCAGCCAAAGGCAGAAAACTACATTGGAGCTGAATACGCCCGTAGATCATCATAATTGCCAGTGGTTAGGACGCATGGCTAGCTTATAACGACTTCAAAAATCAGAGCAGTTTGTCGCTCATTTGGAAAAATTAGAAGGTAAACGAAGCTGGCATATTTCTTACTGCATGGACAAACTTGTTTAGAATGGCACCGAAAAAGGTCTGAAATATCAGGCGAAATATATTTTCTCAAAACAAAAGGTTGTTGGAATCTAGCCACGCCACTGCTTTACAGGACGACGTTCGACGGGGCTGGAAGTTCCTTTCAGGAATTGTTGTAGAAGCAGCACGAATGATGAATGGGAAGAAAAGCTCCTTTATCTCCCATGTGGTTGCATTTCATAATGAAATTTATGAAACAATCGAAATGGATGAATAGTGAAGCTTAGTGATCGGCTAAACACTAAGGTATCACAATGAGCCTACACTGCCCTAAGTAAATTGGTAATAACATATCGATAGCCACTTTTACTCAACCAACCTTACCTTGATGGCAGAACAACCCGACATAACCATTGCTTGAGTTACCAACCATAGGAACATGCATGGTAGTGAACTGACAAGTGGATCAACGACGCTCATAGAAGGATCTCTTTAAAAACCCGCTAGGAAAATGTTATTACGTACGTTCGAAAAAATCTAGAGAGAAACTTAATTTACCCAAATATGACAGGAGAGGATGTATAATATTTTTTTTTTTGCCACCCCAAAACAGCTGTTGCTGCGAAAACTTCTTTGCGAGTACTCACCTATCCCACATTTAAGATATAGGATACTTAGAAATCGTCACGTACTAAACCCCAAAGAACTGTTTGCTAGAAGCATGTCGAATGTAGGTATATTCGTGGGTTAAGTAACAATCAGTGAACTTGGTACATTACTATTCGGAAGTTTAAAGCTTAGATTTTTTCCAGCACCAAAATCTCTATTCACCATCAACCTTTTCGAAGAGCCCAATGAGTGCTAGATCACAAGAGTATAGAATAAAATGAGGAGACTGATGTACTAGCTCCGAGACTGTTGAGTGGAGCCTAGAGAAACACTCGTGGTTTTGGAACAATTATAACGTAAGGCATACTATTAAATTACTGAGACGACGCACTAAGTAAGGGAGAGCTTTACATTATTGTAGTTTGAATATATTAAAAGCGAAGCATGCATAGCAGAGAACGAAACGCTGGTGCATTACTTTTGCAACCGTCGATATATACGACACCTCAAGTTGGTTCATAATATAAATGGGATAGTGTGAATGGAAGAATGGAAAAGACCCGTGAGAAGAGGATCCACCCTCACCACCTAATCGTTGATTTATAAGCCGCCTTCGACAGCCCGAAAAGGAGCTGTATCGTATGCTGCCTGTACGCTGCTATCTTTGAATTTGGTATTCCCGCAAAATGTATACGGCTACGTAAACTAACCTTAAGTAATACTAAAAGCTTCGCCAGGATCGGGAAGGACCTCTCCGAGATGTTCGATACTAAACGAGGTTTCAGGCAGGTTGACTCTTCATCGTGTGACTTTTTTTAATTTATTGCTTTAGGAAATAATAAGAGCGGCAGAAATGAATAGGGAAGGTACAGTCTTCCATAAGTGTGTACAATTTCTGGCGCACGCCGATTATATTGACATTATTGGCCTTAACAATGGCGCCGTTAGTTCTGCTTTCTTCAAACCGCATAAGGAAGCGAGGGATATGTGTCTGATAGTAAACGAGGGCAAGACGAAATATCTCTTGTAATCACATAAACAGGCATCGTATTCGGGACTTGACTTCCACGTCACTGTTGGCAGTTATAACTTCGAGGTCATAGATAATTTCGTCTATCTAGGAACCAGCATCAACACCAATAATAACGTCAGCCTTGAAAGCCAGCGCAGAATCACTCTTTCCAACAGGTGCTACTTTGGACTGAGCAGGCAATTGAAAAGTGAAGTCCTCTCCCGGCGAACGAAAACTAAACTCTACAAGTCGTCTATCGTTCTCATCCTGCTATATGGTGATGAGGCGTGGACGATGCCAACATGGGATGAGTGGGCGATAGAAGTTTTCGAGAGAAAGGTCTTGCGAATACCGCAGCCGAAGGAACGATGAGTTGTATGAGATATAAATATGAACACATACCTACATTGGTAAGTATATATTTTATTTGTTTTTTTTTTTTTATTTACAAAACGAATATATTAAATAATTTTATTATACATAAATTAAAAAAAAGTATTTACACAACAGATTAGATGTGCAATTCATCACTGAAATTTGCGCGATTATATAGGGACCTATTAGCACCGGTGTTAGCGCGATTGAGGCCAAAGCAACCACGACGCCACATAGCGATTGAGCCTAGTAAAATTGGTATGCACAGCAGAATGCCGACAAGCAGGCCAATCAAAAAGAGACTGGCGCTTGAGCCAGTACCGTTGATACTGCAATTCAGTTTATTCTCCGGCGCAGCAAGTTGAAGTAGTGGCACACTCCTGAGCGCACTTGGCAGATAACAGTTCACATCTGTTACCCACAAAGGTGTGGTATTATTTATCTGAATCATTAACACTTCAATCAGCCAACGATTACTGCAGTCGCAGGTCCAGTAGTTATAACGTAAGTCCAATTCACTGATTTTATCCCAACGCTCCAATAAACCGCGATCCAAATTAGTCAAATTGTTGTTGTGTATATGTAGCTGAGGATCAAAAAAAGGTGTTCAGAAATTTTTTTAACTAATTTACAATATTTTGCTCCAATGAGCTTACCTTCTCCAGTGGTGGATAATTCAATATTTCCGGATTTGTCGTATTTTTCGAAAATGCTTTGGTATCAATTCTAGCCAATTTGGGGTTGCTCGCCAAGATTAAAGTGGTTAAATCTGAAACAAAGGAACGGGGTTAATGAAAATTAAAAAGCTTTGATATTCTATATTTATTTAAATTTATTGGCCAACTTACTTTCCAGCTCCGAAAATGCGCCAGCGCCAATCTCTTGCAGCTCTGGCATATAAGACATGCTGAGGTAAGTCAGATAGGGTAGCTTGGGAAATACGCTGGAAAAGTAAGTAACAAAAATGTTTTTAATTCAAAAATAGTTTCATATAGAAATATATCTACTTTTCGCCAATTAAATTGCCAATTGGGTTCTCGTCTAGTACCAATTCACGTAGGTTTGGCGCTAAATCTAAATCATCAGGTAATTCATCGAAGAGATTGCCTGTTAGAATGATTGTTTCCAAATCGCGTGGTCCGTGAAAGAGATAATCGGGTAATTCTGACAGCTCCATAAATGACATATCCAACGTCTGGAAAAAAAGTAAAAGTTGTTATAAATATGAAAGCGTAAGAGTTATAACCTTAAAAAGAGAATGAGTTTAGCATACGGATGAAGAGAATGGAAACACATTAAATTCCGTGAACTGGAACTTTTTTTCTTAACATATTTGTTGTATTCTCTCTGATCTAACTATTATTGGAAGAGTGCATAAGTTCGTGCCCGATTCCGCTGGATGCCGTTCGAATCGTTTGAGAGTGGCGCTCGTGAAAGAAATATATACATATTATATATCGTTGGAAAGGTGACAGTCCGAACTGTAAATNAAACCGCGCGATTTCTATGAATCAGGCATCCGTAAATTGGTTGAACGTTGGGAGTGGATTGCCGAACATGATGGCGAATACATAATTGATTAATAAAAGCGCTTTCTTCAAAAAATTTCAATTTTAGTTTGCACTTGAAATCGGGCACGAACTTATGCACTCATACAATATTTATTGAGTTTAAAAATTTGAAAAAGGTCGATACCGTCGATAGTAGCCTTTGCATTTGCAGGTTCGAGTAAGATTACCTACTTTGGAACCCTTGCGAGTCACAAATTTTATAATTTGTCAGCGGTCGAGTGTATATTTCTTGAAATTGGCAGCAATATTATTCAAAAGGTTGAAGAGAGTCTTGGATTCGAACAAAGGCCGAACCAACAACCGAAATATATTAAAGAATAATAATTTTTTAATTACAGCCGCCAGACAAGAAAGAAAAAGATTTTCATTAAAATCCAGCAGCCCTTCATGGATCCCTGCATTTGTTGGGACAAACCTCAGGAGACCATCCACAAATCTGGTAATTAATTAAAATTAAAAATTGAAAAAAGCTCAGTAATACTCTTTGTAGTCGCAAGTATTTGGCACCAACTGGGCTTCAAAGCTAGTTATAATAGACTTATGAGTGTATTTAAGCTTGATAAAGCATGCTAGTGGTAGAGCCATCTGAATAAGTAAGAAAATAATAAGAAAGAAAATATCTTCATGATACCAAGACGTCTTCCCCTTTGATCTTATAATTTATCTTTGTCGTCTTACAACCAGCAAAAGTAATTTAGAAAAGCGAGACCCAAACTTCAAAGTCTTTTACTAATTAGTGCAGGGCAGTGGGAACAGTTCCGCAATTCCCACAAATTCTTCTGCAGAGATAGACTGTCGGAAATGACCTTCCAGACAAACTACAATCCTAGAAACCCCACATTTAACAGACAAAATAAGTCGCGCCCTTTTCCTGCCGTCCTATCTCGCTCCAATTTGCGTACACCTCACCCTACTCAAAATTTTAACACTTCCAGCTTGTGTGTTGCATTTATAGTTTCCAGCCATTTTTCTGAGAATCAACATTTTAAAGTTGGTACCATTACCTATCTTTATAACTGTAAACCTTAAAAACCTTATTTTAAGTTGCCTAAGAGCTGACTGCTTCACTAATTCTATTCGTTCGGCAGGGCTACAAATATCGCTAGTAAACACTTCAATTCAGATTTTTTAACTCTATTGGTTTGTGCAGGCCAAAATAAAAATATCCAGTGTTAAGTCCTGGTATCAAATATCTGTTCTGAAAGTATTCCGATGCGCTTCTTGCTGGCATAGACGTCTTTGTCATGCTTTCTCATGCCATGAGCTATAATTTTCCAGCGATTCGTGGACCGAGAATCGTTTATAATGAAGGAATGTTTAAAAAGATCTTCTCGAAGTTCAGTTCAATGTTTTTCAATTTTATTTGCGAACAACTTCTTGGAGACCGACCTGGACGATAGAAACAAAATTCGGGAACAGAAACAATAAACTACCCTTGTCATTAGACCAATTATCTATGATGCAGTACTAATACAAAGCTGCCTAAGAGACCTTAAAGATTGGGTGCAGCCCTCTTACTATGAAGAGCAGGGCAACATATACCTAGAGTTTTATAACAGAAAGTAAGTAAGTTTTTGCGTCTTGATGTTTTTCCAACAAATGGAGGGACCTACAGTTTATACTAAGCCGCCTCCGAACGGTTGAAGGTTTTTTATGGCGACCCTTTTTTTCATGTCAGAAAATTCACTCGGAAGGCATTGACATTCCCTGCCGAGAGGCGACCGGAATCAGAAAATTTATTTTATTTTTTATTTAAATTGGTTTTCTATAACTTTTGGATGTTGGTCGCAGGGGACTTGAACCCGAGCCTTCCGAATGGCAGTATGCAATGCTAATTACTCGTCTACTGCGGCCGCCTAGATAATCAAGCGGAAATTAAATTTGTCTACCCAAAGTTGAAATTTGTTAATACTACTTGACGCCCAGGCAATGAAATGATAACGGACACTATCCGCTGCCTGAGATCTTACAGCGCTTTCAAATATTATCTAAAGTAGTAAACTATGGAGTAACACATTTCCGAGGATTATCACTAAAGTATTGACGAAACCCTGGATCACTGCCTTCGTGGTGTTTTAGCCTTCAACCGATAGAGAGGTCATATATTTTACGTTGTTCCTACCTCTAGGCCTATTGAGGTCATCGCTGGTGCATCATTGACTTTTTTTTCAAATTTATAAATTTTAGAAAAACGACGTACGTCAGTACCATTAATCTCAAAACGGAGTTTCCATTTGAAGAGTCGGTGTTAGAGGTTTTCCCGAGTATCATAACCACTTACTAAGCTGAAAGATCTTCTACAAATATAATAGTAGAATAGTAGATACTGAGAGCCATGTCTCAACGTTTTGGAGATTAGGTTAGTCAAAAAGTTTATAACGGTCGTACTCTCACTTGTTGTACATAACACATAAGTAAGGTGGTTCGGTAGAGTTAGGAGTTCAAACTGATATATGTAGTATACACATATTGAACGGCTTACTCGAATAGCAAATCGAACTCTTCTTAGGACGCCATATACAGAAAGAAGTTGAAGAATGTGCCTACCGACAGTCTGAGAATACGACAGCGTTCGCCTATAAGTTACAGCATCAGTTTGAGATTAATGGATGGGTTAACCTTAGTTTAAATACATCCAGTGAGTATATCCATTCAGATGTGCCTTGGAGACGCATCTGAATTGAAGGCCTGAAGAGACTTTTTAAAAAGCTTGGCGTAGCGATCAATATAAAAAAGTCTCACACCCTGCAGGTAAGACCAAAAAGAAACCAATTGAGAGTCTCTTACTTTAGTTAATTCTTCTTTAATAGAAGTTTTAAGAAGAAGAAAAACCAAAAAGAAGTTTGTCTACTCTAAAGTTTATTAAAGTTAAAAATCATGTGACTTACCTTTAAAGAAACCAGTCCAGAAATAGCTGTAACCGTATTATGATCGATCACTTGAAAAGTATTGCCAGACAATATTAAACACTCCAATTTTGGCAAATGCTCGAAGAAATCAGCATCCAAACTGTGTATCTCATTATGTCCCAAATCCAATTCAGTCATTTTGCCGAGGGGCAAGTAGTCATGCTCCGAATATTGACCTTTGAAAACATCCGGATCCAAAGTTTTTGTCTTCAACTTATTTTCCGATAAGTCCAATTTCGCCAATTCTGTGAGATTAGCAAAAGCGCCTTTGGCAATTGTTTCAATTTGATTGAAACCCAAATAAAGGCTTTTAACAGGGTAACTGGGGAATCCCGATAGAGTCGTAATGTTATTATGCTCCAACTTAATTACATCAAATGTAATATCGCCATTTTGTAGAATTTTCCATTCTTCGTCGCTGAAAAGAAGACTCATTTTTGCTTTACTGCAGTCGATTTGCGAATAATTTGGATTACTCAAACAGCTACATTTCTTGCATAAATCACTCTTCATCACATTTATCTGAAAGTGAAATTGAAAATTTATATATTTTCGAATTGGGAGCATGAAGAAATAAGATAAGGTTGACGGTAAGATTTTTTGAGGTTATGTTAACGAGGTGGGAACGCAACTTTCCTTAATAAAAATCGTCTACAAGTGTTCGATTCCAAGCGTGCATAGTGAGGTTCTTAGTGATTTTGTTTTGGGATGGTAGATTTCAGAAGAATACTTCTTGCCCGATAACAGCGATATTGGAATTATTGTAGAATTCTTCCTACTAATACGGTGTGAAGGAATCTTCAGAAAAAGGCTGGACAGTTTATAAAAAAACTTTCACCAGCATACTTTCCAGTCGTAACGTGGACGTTACCTTATCTGTAATGGAGCTCAAAAGATTAGAGTTGACTGCAGTAATTCTGTAATGGAGCTCCAAAGATTAGAGTTGACTGCAGTAATTCCCTTTGCTCGAAAACACTAATCCAAGTCTGACATAAGCCAAACTGGTGATCAAAAGAGAATGACTCAGTCATTAAATTTTGTAGGAGGTTTTTCAAAGAAGTCAAGAAATTTGCAAACTTAGAGTCTACAAGAAGGTTCAAAGAGAGGCAAAAAATATTATTTGGAAGGATTTATGCAGAGAAGTTAATTTCATAACAGATACGGCTAGGCTTAGATCATAGGGTTCTAACGATACAGAACTGTAATTAGATATTAATTTATCGGGGAATTCGCAGATATTGTCATGTCTCTTACTTGGCAGTTTAAATAGAAGAAATAAGCTATGCAGCCAAACCCTTTTGTCTGTCCCGATGGTATAACTCCTGATAGTATCCGCTCACCGTTTCAAAACAATTTTTGAGGCATATTTTAATTTTAACAATGCTCCACTCCCATAAAGGCAAGTGTTAGTGGGCATTATTTCTAAGGGGTGAAATATCTACTCACAGTAGTTCAAAGAATAGTATTATTATCTCGTCGTTTCTAAGATACAGAGGGACATTTTAACAAACGACCGGATTCCCTAAGATCTGAATAAGAAGACTTAGGTGTGAAGACTCAACTAGTGGGTTCATTATGTAGCTGGTTCATTGTTGAACATATACCGCTAGCTTTGGGGGATCCGAGTAACTAACATGTGAACAGTGGCACACCTCAAGACGATAATCTCTCATCCAAGCTCTGAAATCGCATATTGAATTCACTTCTTACTGGAATTTTATCTACTTACCTTTGGTATTGTTGTTGTATTAGCATTTGTTGGAGTAGCACTTGTTGCAGTGGCACTTGTTGAACTGTCATTTTGTTGGGCAGAATCATTGTCCGCTTTTGCCAGCAAGCATAGCACGGCCACTACAATTGCGGATAAATAAATAATTCTCATTTTCTCGTAACCTATAAAAATTTAAGAAGGGGAAGAAAGTTTTCGCATACAAAAATCATTAGAATTTAAAAATTAGTATTGTTTTAAATCAATTAAGAAAGTATACAAATAATTTTTAACTTATAGTCGCTTAAGCGATTGTCAGGGAGAGCCCGTAACACATATTGCTAACTTATCGAACCAATAGCCGGTTTGTTAGTGACGTGTGCTACCATATGGAAAGTCGTGACCTCTAATCCTGGCCAGTTCATCATCCAAAATTATAGAAATATAAATTATTTTCCTTCGCCTGGAAGCGCGTCAACCTTTTCGAGCGTATTCAACACGCATCCGTCCTTAAGAGAAAAGAAAACAAAACCGTCTCTTTGACACAAGACGAAAGAAAATAACAACAAAAATTTTTTTTGGTTTTTTTTTGCTAAAACTATGTTTTAATATTTCAAGCTGTTTTTTTTTTAATTATAACATTTAAAAAAATAATAAATTTCAATTATTTTCGCATTTTTTACAAAGGCTGAATCTGTGCTCTGGACAGACTTTTTTGCAACATTTATCGCATTCCACAGAGTGCAAAATTCTGTGGACACAAGTGGCACCGCGCACGCTTCCTGGAGGGAATGTGGTGTGCCAATCCTCCCCCACTGGATGTCGACGGCTCCTGTGGTGTTCCCCTCATTTCATTCAACACTTCCATGTCTTCTTCTTCTCTGGGGGTCCTTTCCCGTCGTACAATAGTTGGTGAGACAAGTGCAGTGCTTTTTTAAGTGCAGGAAGTTTTTCTTATGTATATTAAAGAAGTTTTGTCATTCCCATGATTTTCCATTACTTTAGTCAGCAGTGACATTAGTTCGATATTTGAAGAGGAAGTATCATATCGAGTTTTCTTGCTTCGGGGCTTTCTAACTATAGTTTTTGTATCTAAAACCATCGGTTCTAGATATAAACTGATAGAACTGATGAATGATGTTTCAGTATTAGATGTACTCATATCCTTGCCTTGTGTGAACGGTGAGGGCCCTCACAAATTGCCCACTGTATCAGGTGTATACTCTGGGCTCTCTCTTTTTATGAAACCACAAAGGTACAATCAGTTATCAGCACGATAAGTCCACAGGTCTCCTGCTTTGAATTGCTGGCGATTACTCCCAAGGAGCTAAAGGGTAAGTCAAATGGAAAATCGCTTAGCTGTCTTTATGATTTCTGTTTTTCCCATATCAGTCCCACATTGTATTTGTATGGAATGTACAACTTAGTTTTCTTCATTGCGACAAGTGTCTGTAGAGTACTGAATCTAGTCCTTTCAAGGTCAGAGCGCTCTCATCCATTCAGACAACAGAACCTAGCCAAAAACATATTTATCCCAATAACTGCTGTCTCTCAACTCGCTAAACTATGTATGTCAATGTCAACGCATATCTCATACTGCCCATCGTTCCATCGACTGTTTCGCAAACTCCTAACGCCGGGTCCTCACTTATTGTCAACGTCCACACTTCTACATCATATAGAAAGACGAAGAAAAGAGAACTTTACAATTACAATCAGGAAACAGCTAAGTATGTGCATGGGTTACTTATTCAGAAGTCTGGTATTACGAAAACTATCTTTTTGTGAAATCGAGTAAGTTCAGTTCATTGAATTTTATCGTAGATAACGGTGGAACTTCTCTTCCGTCGAGGCGTGAGCACAGGTGAAGCGAATTTGTTCTTAATTTGTACGTCATAAAAACTGATTTTATCCCATTTTCACTTTACAACCACGGCAGAAGTCTTTAGAGTAAAGGCCCATCCTAATCCCGTGAAGCTCCATTAAACAGTGTCCAGTTATTATTCCCGTGGCTATGCTAATGAAGAACCGGTCCAGAAGGATGAGATGTTAAAATTTTTTCGCGTCCAACTTAGGCCATATCTGTCTGGTCACGCTACACGTGATCTCGTTCAACCATCGTGCGTCAGCTTCCATGGTAAATGCCAGTTTAAGCATGCGCTTTGCAGTGGACAGAGGTAAGTAAACCAGCATCATGTGCGTGTAGATAGAAGGGCTGTGTCAACAGACTTACCCTTGAAGTAGGCATGTTGCTTCCCCGAGAGGCTGTTTGGGGGAAGATTCTGGTGGTTCTTCCTCCTTTTGCGATAAAAATTACTTTGGCCCTTGTCCATGCTTGCGGTATGTACCCATCGCGTAGGCAGGCTTTGTAAATTTTACATAGGAATAAGGATAGGATGTCCTCCGCGCTCTGTAGCTCAGTGGGAAAGATTCCATCTAGTCCTAGATTGTAGGGTTAGAAAGACCTAATCGCCCTTTCTGATAACGTCTTGGAACCGCTCACTTCCTTCCCGTAAGGCTTGGTCGTGTCCGGTGGAACATACCAGAAAGTGGGAGTTCATGAGAATATTCAACATTTCTTCACAAGATGACGTCCATTCACCATTTGGTTTCTGGATGAAATTGTGGGTTGCAGAGCATTTGGAGAGGACTTTTCTTAGTCTATTGCCTTCTGCATTTCCTTCAATTTCCCCGCAGAAGGCCTTCTAAGATTCTCGCTTTGCCTTAGTTACAGAGGTTTTAAAAGATTTTAAGCAAGCTTTATAAGATTGCTAGGAGCCCGTTCTTTTGGCTTCATCAAAAAGTTTTCTGCTTATTTTCCTTAAATCAGAGATGCCATTATTCCACCATTTGGGGTTTTTCTTCCCTGATGGGATAGATAAGGGGCATGAGGACTCAAAAGCGGTGTTACAGACTTTTGCTACAAAAGCCACTCCTTCGTAAATTTTCGTCGGTTTACCGAGAGAAACAGAACTTGTGCTATTTGCCTGAGCGACGTTAATGACAGCCATAATTTTACCAACTTTGCCCTCCACTGGACACTGGACACTGGCCACTTCCCATTTAACAGTCCGGACATTCCAAGTGGGTGCTTATGAATGGTGACGACAACAACACCTTTGCTATTTTCAATTTAAGATGCTTTTTTGCTAAATAAGGAGGAGTATTTTATGATTGCTAAAGCCACTTTTGGGGGAGCCTTTCCTTCATTAGACTGCCTTATAAATAATTCTACGATTCGTATTTTCGATCGAGTTTTTGATCTATTTGGTATTCGAATCTATGGCTTATGACTCGAGGCTTGATCTTGAAATTTGAATGAGTTCAACGGATACCTAAGATAGTCACGAATGCACTAGAATCAGATAGTTATCACAGTTCACATAAATCACATTTTTACATTTGTCAAAAAATTCGTTTTTCGAATGTTTTTTTTTTTTTTAGATTTTTGAGATGTTATGATACCGGCTCGAATCCAGTACCTTGAGAGCTGACGGCCATTGTAGAGAATATGAAGTGACCTAACTCCCCTTTTATTTTGCTTCCTTCTTTGTTGATTTCTTTTATTGGTTGTTAAAATCATTCATGCAACTCTGTGCTTAAAAGTGGAATATAACCATGTATGACGACTGAAATGAGAAACGAAATCGATCAGGTATTCGCATTTTTAAGCTTAAACCGAAAACAGACGCTAAGTTTTCTTTCTTTAAAGGCTTTTCAATGTTGTTGACGCCACAAATTTTATCTAGTCACGCACCAAGTGCAAAATACGCGGCGTCAACCGTTTTCACGTTTGGAAGGGGAAAGCCAGCGTTTAAGATTTATAATGAGATGAAAAGTACATGTGATGATAAAGATATGAATATGAAAGGAGGTGCATGTTGACAAAATGAGTCTGCCTATTATCAGACCACATATCGCTAACGCTACGAATAAACTAGTCGCCATCATCTCACAGAAATCACTGATCGAATACCTATAGATTACTACTCTACATCTACCTGAAGCTGTATATGAGTGGAAAAGGTTGGCGAGAAGGTAAAGAAGAAGCAGGAGTAAAAGTGGATGAAATGGCTGGCGAGAAACTACATCGATGTAGGTATTATAATATTGATATCCCACTTCATCATCTACATAGAGAGTATCGGCGACGACCGTCGAAAAATCGTTTACTAAAGCCTCAAGTAGTTTTTTTTTTTTATTTAAATAAAGGAATTTAAAGTCTCAAAAGTTCAGTACACGTACTTTGTTCATTTACACTGTTTTAGCAAAAGAGAGCCGTAAAAACACGTCTCTAAGTAAGGGTGTTAACCAACAACTGCCAGAACATTGAAGTTCTTTGTAAAAGCGCATTAAAATATTTTTATTAAGATTTCAGAAATTAAAGGGGGAGAGTGGAGAGTTGTGACTCAACTGATTGTTATCTGATTAAAAGCACAAATCAATAGATAAATTTAACCTTATCGCTTAATAAATATCTATATGTATAAATATATGTATGTCTGTTTCGGTATGCACTAATTAGTGTAACTATAAATTTGTAACACTTTTTATGGCACTTTCCAACGAAATTCTTATTATTTACTTATAATTTGATACTGATAATTGCAAAAAAAACGGTAAAAATCACTGAAAAATATATTTGCAAGTTTTTATTATTCTATTTAAAAATCCACTTGTATATTTTAATTTTTTGATTTATGTTTTATAAACTTACTACTTGTAACTAACGCAGCCGAATCGAAACACTCACTGAAACTCATTTCGGTGGTGCAAAATGATTTTATGAATATATCTTATCACACCTGCTTCGTTGCTATAATCTTATCGTTATCATAAAAATTCGTTCTGATAAGAGCAATGTTATGATATTTTAACCTAACATTTAGTTTTGTGTTGATCATTGGAGGACAAACGCAGTAGAGGTGATAAATGAAAGGGTAAGGAGAAAACTATTTCGCTCGGCGCCAATTCGCCGCTATGAAGTGGTGGTATTCACCATTTCTTCAATACCTGTTTTATAATTAATATTACAATATAAAAGCTCCAAATATTTATTTTAAATATTTATTATGAAACAATTATTTCAATGCCAATTTCTCTAGAGACTATTTTTAACCTGGAAAGAAAATCTAATTGAAAACTTCTTAATTTATTTCTAATCATTACTAAATCTACTTTTATTTATTGCACTAAATACAACTTTAATAAAGCATAGATATTCTTCTTCTTCATTACTGGCGTAGCCACCACTTGCGAGATTATAGCCGAATTTATGACATTGCGCCATTCATATCTTTTTTCACTGTTTGGCACCAACTGGAGATACCAAGTACAGCCAGGTCCTTTTCTACCTGGTCTTTCCAACAGAGGGGAGGTCTTCCTCTTCCTCTGCTTCCATGCTTCCACCGACGGGTATTGCACCGAAAATTTTCGAAGCTGGAGTAATCTTATCTATCTGGACAACATGACCTGCCAGCGTAGCCGCTGATTCTTGTTTCGCTGAACTATGTCAATGTCGCCATATAATCCGTACAGCTCATCGTTCCATGGTCTGCGATATTCTCCGTTGCCGATGTCCATAACCGACTTGTAGAGTTTGGTTTTCGTTCGTCGAGACAGGACTTTTCAGTTGCCTTTTCAGTCCAAATTAGCACCTGTTGGCGAGAGTGATTTTGCATTGTGTTTCCAGGCTGATATTGTTGTTATTGTTAATACTGGTTCCAAGATATACGAAGTTAGATTCAAAGTTATGACTGTCAACAGTGACGTGGGAGCCGAGTCGCGAAAGCGATGTCTGTATGTTTGATGACAGGATATAGTTCCTCTTGCCGTCGGACTCATCTGCTTCGCTTCTTTATAGAGTTTGGAAAAAAGCAGAACTGACGGCGCGGTTGTTGAGACAAATAAGCTGTGCACTCTTACAGAAGATTGTACCTTCCCTATTCAGCTCTGCAGCTCGCATTATTTTATACAACAATAAATTAAAAAAATTCATAAGATAAAGAGTCCCCATGCTTGAAACCTCGTTTTGTATCGAACGGTTCGGAGAGGTCCTCCCCGATCCTGATGGAATCCCGGAGTTTATAGTACTTCTTAACGACTTTTAGTGTTGTTTAAGGTTAGTTTACGTAGCCGTATACGTTTTGATGGGACGTGGACATAAACATAAAATAAAACTAATTATAAAAGCCTTACATAAAACCCTTAAAAATTATTTATAACAAAAACTTCATTAGGGGGAAAAAATTTCAATTTTTGACAATCAAAAAATTACACTATGTAACATACTAACAAATCTTAAAATTTTAAAGTTAAATATAATATATGCAAAAATTATTAGTACTTTTTCCTTTTTAAGTTAATTTCAGAGGCCCTGCTTTTTGCTGTTTACAATTTTTTCAAAACAAAAACGAATATGTAACTAATTCCTTTCCCACACTCGACGCGTATTCTCCATAAAGTCATTCCACATACGTTGCATTATGTTGGATTGTGGCTGTTGTGACCGAAACTGTTCCATGGGTATCCACGGAAATGACCATTGAGGTTGATTGGATGAGAATGGACCCAATGGCTGCGGCACCGATTGTGACTGAAAATTTCCCTCCTCAATGAATGTGGAAGAATCCTGTGAGTAATTGAATAAAGAAAAGAAAAAATAGTTAATCTCTTAAAACTTTAAAGGATTTATTTGAATTTATGCCCTTTTTTACTCTTTCCCGTACTCACTTGTTCGACATCTACAGCGAAACGTCCTTCTTCAACCGCTTTACGAATTTCTTCACGCAGTTCAGCCGCCTCTTGCAAATTCTGCGCTGTTATGCGTACGTTGGCCTCTGAAGGAGTTGCTGGACGTCTTTTATCAACTAGCCAAGTGGGTTGCACCACCTGTTTTGAGTGAAAAAATGTAGATAAAGACAAAAAGAGATAAAATATTTTCCTTTTTTATTATTTAGATATTTTACTTGACGCTGTGTTCTTGGCATGTCCTTCAATAATACCGCTGGTGATGGTCCATCATACATTGGGTGAGCCTTTAAGTAAAAAAAAAAAATTATTTCTAAAAATGTTTTTAATTCATATCATTAATTTTAGGCGTGCCATACATACATTTAGCGAAAGAACACTGCTTAATACTACTAAAGCGCCAATAAATACTTTCTGCTTATGCGGCATTCTGATTTTACTTATTTCTTTTTTTAATAAACTAAAAATGCTATGAAAATGCATTTTTTAGTAACGGTTGCTATTTGACTGATGCCATGCTGCCAGAAAAATAAAATTATATTACAAAAAAAAAAATAATAAATAAAATGAATTAAATAAGGTAAACCAAAAAAAAAAATTAAAACAACTTTTTATAAATTTCAATTTAAATTTAATTTAATACCAATAAAACAAAACAAAAATTGAAAAAAAAAACTCATTAAAAAATATTATTGTTATAATATATAACAAGAGAAGGAATCAAATTAAATAAAAAATTACGAAATAAAATAAAAGAAATTTAAAACTAAACAAAAATCAATTAAAACACAGTTACAGATATTAAGTTAATTTAAATAAAGTCATATACAATAATTTAAAATAAAAAAATTAAATGGGATAAAATTAAATTAAACCAAATAAGGAAATTAAATCAATATGAAATAAGTTAAAAGTGAAAATAAAATGAAAAACTAGGTATAAATGAATAAAATAAAATAGTAGATAGATAATTTATCAATGATTTTAAATAAGTTACAAAAAACATACTTCAAAGTTTACAAAAAGTTAAAGCAATTTGAAAAGGTATGCTAAATGAAATTAAACTAAATGAAAGTATAGAATTAAATAAAAAGCGATAATAGCCCAAACTAGAAAGGATAATAAAAAAAAAACTACACAAAAAATAAATAACATAGAATAATATAAAAAATAAAAAATTTGTATAAAAATTAAACCAAAAATATCAAAAATCATTCAAAGGAATAATTTTTATTTTTGTTTAATATAATTTTAAAAACTTCACTTAACTTTAGTTTTATTAATTATATTTATTTTAATTAATCAAATTTCATTTTTATTAATTAAATTTGTTTGAATTAATCAAATTTCATTTTTATTAATTAAATTTATTTTAATTAATCAAAATTAATTAATCAAATTTAATTAAAATAAATTTAATTATTAAAAATTATTCCTTTGAATTAGTTTTGATATTTTTGATTTTTTAGTTTATTTTTTTTTATATTTTTTTTCATATTTTTTTCACTTTTATTAATTAAAATAAATTTAGGTAATAAAAGTGAAAAATATATGAATTAAATTTTATTAATTAAATTGATTGATTAATTAAAATAGATTTAATTAATAAAAATTAAATTAAGCGCAGTTTTTAAAATTAAACTAAACAAAAATAAAATTTATTCCTTTCAAACGCCGTTTTTCTGGATGGTATCTGCAGCCGAGTAAGGCCAGAGTTCAAGTGCCGGTCTCTGTTATTGATTTTTCTAATTGCAGTCATTCCTCAGCAGTTAATATAAAGTACACCGAATGTTATACTGACATTAAATGAAAGCTCCACATAAAAGTCAAGCGTCTGTTCGGAGGCGACTTAGAATGAAATGTCAGTTCCTCTATTTGTTGGAAAAACATCGTGACGCACACTACAAACTCAAGGGGGAGCTGGACGAAAAATTGCTTGAGCGGTTACAAAGCGCCAATTATATTTATGAAATTTGCTTAAATACAGATGCATTCCTTAATAAACAATGCTCTATAATATACGGAAAAGCATGACTTTTATTCAAAAAATTTAAAACAAACAAAAGAAAAGCATGTACACTTTGATTTTTTTTTAATTTAAACTTATTTATTATCTTTTAATTTAACTAATTGAATACAAACTTAACAACTATAAATTACTTAAAAGAAAGTAGACAAATAACATGTTTATACAATTCCATCGTTTGCATCAACATATTTATATTAAAGAAATATACAAATTGTTTAGTATCCCTCTAATTGTATACTTTTAATAGTTCAAAGTAAGATTAGCCGTATTTATTTACACAGTCATCTTTATAATTTTTACACACACTTTAAAGGGTACTAGCAGCGAAGGCAGTAAATAATTTACAACTAAAAAAGAAACAAGTATTTTCAGTCATAGGTGTTCATCTACCACGACGCCCCTTAGCCGTTTTGATAATCGTTGCGTTTGCTTCCGCCGCCGCCGCTGCTGCAGCTGAAGAAGTATTTATACGCATTTGTTTGAGGTCACCACGTGCCTGTGATTTTATGCTCTCCACTTCGCGTTTTACATTCGCATTTTTATAATCCACAGGGGTTGGTGGTGTATCTGTGGTAGAATCATCAAATAAATCGCTTACTTCGACCATGCGCGGCTTGAAAAACATATGCGGCCGTATAACAGCTTTTTCATTCGTTTTGAAAAGGTGCAGAATGCCCCAAGGCGATTGCGTCCCATTATCCGGTTGTGACGGATTCTCCACTTCTGACTCCAGCACCCAAGCAGCGTTACGCACTTCAATGCGCAGGCGTTCACATTCCTCGAGACTGACATTTTTACTAACATTCAGCACCTATGAAGTCATAAAAAGATTAATAATTCTTTAATTAAAACTTATTGCTTTTAACTCACCTGCTCCAACGGATTGACTATATAAAGCGCAGAATGGTCTGGTTTTGAGATCGAACGTCCCTCATTCAGCGATATCGCACGGTTGTGAAAATCAAACTGCGAGTAAAATTCAAAAAATTGTAATAGCAATTCGCTTGATTTCGCTGTGTTGCGACTGCGAAAACTGATGCGTTCGAAATCACGTCCAAAACTACAATTGATGCCATCCTCGGTGAGTCGAATATCATCTGGTGACGCAGATTTCATGAGAGCATTTATTGTGGGCAGTATGGGCTGTTTCATCTGTTGTAGAAAGAATATCACAAGGCAGGTGAGTGAGAAGTTCGATATCCAACGACCGGGCGAGGGATTGGTTAGACCACAAGTTTGTGCCCAACGGCGTATGCAGAACGTCAGCGGTCGTACGCGTTCGTCAAACTCACCGAACATATACAATAGTTCAGACATGTAGAAGCCGGTGCTGTGGGGATACAAATGTGATATTAATTGATTGCAGTTTAGTGATATTAATTGATTGCAGTTTAGTAAAAGGTTTATGAAAAAATTGTTATAAATAAGTAGAAATTATATTTCAGCACTCTACATTGCATCAGAATATAACAAAACTACCAACTCAATCCTCACATACATCAGTCTATATAAAATCTACATCACATGATATCAAATCAAGTCATCATATCAGTCCAAAGCAATATGTATTACACCATATCAACACAATTGAAATGATCTTTCGTCAAATCAATTGGAAATAAATCACATCATAGACCCATGGCCTCTGTTGTTGGTTGCCTTAGTCTAGTAATGTATTTTTTTTTTTTTAAATTATATATATTAAAAAATATATAAAAAAAATCGCATCATATGTTATTTCTATCACATCACATCACCTAACTCAGCATCGCATCAAATGACGTCGACATCATACCCACTCCAAATGATGAAGGTTCATTTATTTCTATGATAAAAAATATTGAATCACATCGCATCTCACCATATCACATTCATCAAAAAGTAGTTTTGCATAAAAAGTAATTTAACATCAAATCGTCTCATAACAATTGACTCAAATCATAATAGATTACACCACATTAGAACACACCAAAATATGTTACATCACTTCGGATCAACTCAAAACAAAGTCACACACATCCCTCCACAAAACGTTACATCAGATCTGTTCAAAGTAAAATAAATTAAATCACATCAGCAAATAACATATCACATCATTTGATATATGATATAAAACAATATCATATCGCCTCGGGCCAAATCACATCACCTTAAGTGATAACAAATCACGTCGTAACGACTCAAATCAAATCATTTTAAATGTAATCAAAGTAAAGCAAACACATCACACCACAAAATGTCACATCACATCAGATCAAATAAAAATATTCTCAAAGCATCCGTTCAAAGCATAAAAAATCAAAATAAGTTTGTGCATTATTTTCTACTAAAAACCAATCTTATTTTCAGCATATTACCCAGATAATAATGGAATGCAGCAAAAAAAGGCTTTCGCGCCATATTCATATCTGCACCAGAGGTTTGTATGTATGAGTTACGCAAAAATAATCATCATATAAAATTACAGCGAATATTTTGATGAATCAGTTAGGCATATATTGATAAAAAAAACTGATAAAAGTCGTCCGAAAACTAAATTCAAACATGATTATAGGAAGCCTTGATAGTATTTAAAAACAAACGAAACTCGACACTAACATATATACATACAGCCGAAAAAGTTATAAGATATAGTACATAAAGCGATTTTTTGGTTGTTGTGGCGGACGTAGATAACTGATTCACCTGTGCCTTTACATGCAATAAGCCATACTAAAACCACAAATTTTGCGATAAGAAAATGACAATGAGGCAAGAAGACATGGTTATTGTTGTGAGCAAGTGTATCATTGTTGGGTGTTGGTATGTGAGAAGACAATCACTTTGACTCTTATATAGTGCACCTGTTCGCTCTAACATTTTAGAGGGAATTTGCTATTTTTTGTTGCCCCAATATCATGTGTATGTAAGTGTATTTTATCAGTAGGCTTATCTTATCAGCAAGAACGTCGTTCATAGCTTTGGTAAGAGTGTGAGCAGGTTTCTTATTTTTCCCCCGACACAGATATTGGCTAACTGTAGGTTCGAGGTATGTTTTCACAAAACGCTTGTAACAGATTTTCTTTAGAGAATTCTGAACGAACGACAACGACAATACGAGCCAGCGTGCAGTGAGACCAGTTACGAGGTCGCATTTCGCTGAATAATTTTTTTGAAAAAATATTAAAACAAATTTAAAAAAAATATTAACAAAATTCACTAAAACGAAAGAACACTTTTACGAAAAATAAAAAATTATTGGAAAAAACACTTGTGCGTGCAATAATTTTAATAAATATCGAAAAACGATTATTAAAAGGTGATATTAGTCATAGCTTGAAAAAATAATTTTTTTTCATATCTTATTTATAAACGCCATAGACATAAAGTAAAAATTTGTTTAAAGAATTTAAAAACTCCTAAATCTTTAAATATTCAAAAAGAATTCGAAAGTTGCTTTTTGTTCCATTTTACGTATCAAATTTGTAAAAGTAAATATAACATTACAACAACTCTAATGAAGTTATGAAAATGAGTTCGTAGAAAAAAAACGAGGGCGTTGGCGAAGACAAAATCAAAAACGTGTGTGACGAAATGTGTATAAATAAAATTATGAAGCGAAGGAAAGAAAAAAACGCAAAAAAATAAAACTAAATTGAATAAATGAATTCAAACAGCAATAAAATGTACGGAATATAATGAAAAAAATTAAATTAATTAATTGCATTTCAATCAAATAAAAATATCTAAAAAATATATAAATATAAATAAAAAATTAAACAAAATTAAATGAATAGAATAATATTAAACTAATAATTTGCTCATAAGCTCCCAGCTACAATAAATGAAATTAAAATTTTAAAAATAATAAAATAAAAAAATCAAATGAAACTAAATTCAAGTTGAATAAAATAAATAAAAAATAGTAATAGAGCGAAATAAAAGAAAAAATATTACAATATTTTAAATAATAAATAAATTATTATATAAATATATAACAAAATTAAATTAAATATGTATGTACATAAGTTCAAATTAAATAAAATGTAACAAAGTAACATTAAATGATATAAAAGAAAATTAATTAAATTAAAAAAATAAATAATAATAAAAAGTAAAAAAAATTTAATAATATTCAATTAAACAGTGTGAACTGAATAAAATTAAACTTAAAAGAACCAGAATATAATATGTATATCTGAAAAATTTTCAACAAAACAACAAATCATTTCACATTTATGATTACAAAGTTACTCGATATACAAAACTTAATACCTCAAAATAAATGAATAAAAAGTCAAAAACACCGAATTCCGTTTAACTTCAATACTTTTGATGACCTCACACACGTATTAATGTACAAAAGCACCTGTTGTTGCAACACTAGCAATATTAATCATCAATTGCGATGAGCTGATAACAATATTTGCTAAACACACAGAGATAACGCAATATAAAATATGTTAAAAGAAGTTGGCTAAATTAAGGGCGATTAAAAGTGAAGTAAATTTAGCAAAGGGGTAAAAAATTTAATGAACTGAATTGAAGTCTACACTTTTTAGTGCATCAAATTACTTAAAATAGTGTTCGCCAATATAAATTAAAAAACGTAAAATGTATAGCTCTATGATGATATTATGAGCGTGAATCTAAGAAGAACAATAGAATTAACTCATTAAAACAAGAAACAAAACAAAAACAATTAACAAATCAAACTTGAAAATAGCTCTTAATTGTAACGCTGTGATATTGACATTTGAAAATTCAGTACAGTTTATTTACATTTTGTACAATTCAGTAAATTAACTCTACACAACCGAATTGTATCGTAAATCGTTATAGCCATTTGCCAAATTAAGTTATTTGTCTATTAGTCACAATCTCTTGTTGGTATTTTATCTACAAAAATTGATAAAGTAATTGAGTTACCTATCGCTAACTGTAGTTAAACAAAGTAATTTTTCTATTACATAAAAAAAGAAGGAAATTTACTAAAACCACATGAATTGATTCAAGAAAATTTCAAAGAAAAAGCTTAAAGAGCTCTAGCTCGCTTAGAAAATCAGTTAAAAACTTGTATTAACCATAATTTTCACCCTCACTTCTTCTCTCCTTCTTTTCAGTTAAACGCAACTATCTCTCCACATAGCATTTACACACACATAAACGATTCCAACAACATACACAAAATGGGTTTTGGGCGTGAAGAGAATACGCTGGAGAAGCAAATTGGCTGCGTCAAATATACACTTTTCTGCCTAAACATCGTCGCTTGGATGTTTGCAACTTCCCTGTTTGCTCTCAGCGTCTGGCTGCGTGCTGAAGAGGGCTTTAGCAATTGGCTTACCATTTTGCAGGCACAAAACTTCTACATCGGCGTTTATATACTGATTGGCACGAGCATTATCATGATGGCTGTATCATTTTTGGGTTGCCTTAGCGCTCTTATGGAGAACACATTGGCACTCTTGGTCTTTCTCGGCACACAGGCTTTCGGTTTTGTTGCGGGTGTAGCGGGTTCAGCTGTTTTATTGGATTATAGCACTATGCATTCAAGCTTACAGCCGATATTGCAACGCACATTGACATATTTGGTCAGCACATCGGAATATTCAAATTCGTCATATGTACTCAATATGATACAGAGTAATATTGGTTGTTGCGGCGCAACCGGACCATGGGATTTTTGGAATTTGCATCAACCACTGCCAAATTCTTGCCGCGACACGGTTAGTGGTAATTGTTTCTTTAATGGTTGTGTGGACGAATTGACTTGGTTCTTTGCCGGCAAGACATCGTGGATAGTGGCTGTGGCTTTGGGTTTGGCATTGTTGAATATCACTTGTGCGGTCTTGAGTTTGGTTTTGGTGCAAGCGGTGAAGAAGGAGGAAGATGAAGCGCGTACCTATCGACATTAGAGAGCCTAAGAGCACAATGTAGTTTAAATACGAGTTTGGGTATAAAATGGCAGCTGGTATTGGAGTCGAATATGTACACTAGTTGTTGATGGAAATGCGTATGTTTATTAGTCTTTAAATGTGCGCATTGTGTTCCGTTGGAAGCCGACAATTTTAAAACTTTTCTTTTTTATAAAACCACAAAACCGCCGAATGAACTTTTTACATACATTAAATGCTTTTTCATACATATTTAATTTTTACCGTTATCCATTAGATTTTTAAGTTTGTTTAACAAAGACAAGATACCTTTACAAATACATCTAAGCGCACAAATAGTTTTAATAAAAGTCGTTAATAAATAAATATTCGTTTTTTCTTCAAACTTCGCAAGAAATGAACAGGAATCCATTTGTTTTGTAGTTAATAAATTATTATAATTTCTGAAGGTAAGTACTAAATATCCCAAACAGAAACGCGATCTTAAAATTTGCGTACGTATTTCATTCGAGAAATGCACAATTAATGAAAGCGGTAGACTGGCCTTAACATTAAATTTATAAACATATATTGTTCTTCTGGCGATTTTGAAAATTTTTCTCACCGAATGTTAAAGAACGACAAAAAATCTCAACGCACCGCAGGACACTCAGAACCGAAATAAGCACATAAAAAGCGGAAAAGGCACAATTTCGTTTGAACTTAATTAGAAAAGAATACTCACAGATTGCTCATGGAGAGATCCACCTCCAAATTTAAATGTTCATGGTGATACTTTATGATCGGCACACGCGCCTGTAGAATACGTCGCACATGACACACGCCGGGTAGGAAAAGATGTAACATATCACCAAGGCTTTCCATTTGACGCTGTGTTTGCGAACGCCCATTTGTTAAATTTTCCTTCGTATGAAATACCAAACGAGACTCATTATTGCGCTTCTGCATTGCTGCTGCACCAACTATTTCACGATCGAAACGCAATATTAAATCTAAATCACAACCCATTCTGCCAAAACCATTCACCGACGAACCAAATGGTTGCGCATTTGCATTGGGAAATATACCAGATACCGCTTGTTTCACCTGTAGAGCAGCTAGAAAACGTAAACGTACACCGAGATCATTGAGTTGTGTCTTTTGGTGTAAATGGAATATTTGTTGATCTAAATTCGACGCTTCACACAATACATCATTTAAATCGTTGTTATCAAGCATTGTAGTACCACCAATAACAGCTAGTTTGGCCTCAGTCGTTTGATCAGCTGCTTTCAATGTACGTATGCTACTTGTCGCTCTAAACCACAGAAATGGTGAATGCGCTGGCACACCGGATAGTTCATCATTGTACGCTGAAGAAGATATGGCAGCTGAAGCTTCTTCTGCACTGCCAAATTCCAATAATATATAATGTTGATCGTCATCTTGATGAATGCGATAATGGTGTGCACTTAATATTTTACCGAAGCTAGCGCAGTAGTTATACAATTCAGGGAATGATTTTTCTGATTGAACTTGTACCACAATACTGCGTGTTGCTTGCTGCTGACGACGTTGTAACATATCATTGTAGAGCAGTTTTTCTATAATGTGCAATATCTTATTGAAAATTAGTGTTTATTTGTACAAAATATTTTTACTTACCTTTAGGTTCACTGATTATTGCTTTCGAGGTGCATTGCCTGCTCAGATGTTTGCTCCAATTTAGCAAGTGTTTCGTATTGTTTCTCATTAAGCAATGCATAATTGGATCTGACAAATCCTTGGATAGCAAGTAAACTAAAATTTTAAATTTTAGAATGTTGAATTTAAATAACATTAAAAGTTAAACAAAATATACAAACCAACTGATCTAAAGTTTAGCGGTCAAAAAAACTATTTTAGGTTACGTTAAATTTATCAGCTGTTTATTGTGATAAGTATTGATAGAGATAAACGTAGCTGAGCAGTAACCGGATCATCGCCTGTTTCGTTTTTTTTTACCTATAAAGTAATCAATAAAAAAAGAAATATCAGTATTCTTTCACAGCAAAGCACATAAGATAAATAAAAAAATAAACCATTGCCTGAAATTATAACAAATAAGCTGCCAATTTTGAATAAAAGTTACTATCATCAAGCCGATTCTCGCTCTTACCGTTAAAATTAAATAAATGTTACTGCCTTTTAACACCCGAAAATGAATTTGGTATTATGGCGAACTGGTTACAATGTTTTAAAAAATTTGGAAGACGGTGCTCAACAAAATAAATAAGTATTATTCATTTGTTTATTAAATCATATGGATATATTTGAAACTAATTAGGGAAAATATGCCTAGACGACAAAAAAATTTTTTTGTTTTCGTGCAACTTCTTATCATACGCATTTTAAAACTTCTTTCTTCATCTTCAATTAATTCCAGGTCTGAACTATGCCTACCCATTTTGGTTTTTATTTTTTCTCAAACTAACAACACAAAATCAAACAAGAAGTTCTTTGTTACCTCCTATTTCGCTGGTAACCAGATTTACAGGGTGACAGTGAGCTCAGAATACGAAACAGTAACAAAATGTACTGAATGGTAAATTTTAATGCCAAAGTAAATTTTATTACGTCGACAGAATAGGTCTGTATAAGTCAACATGAAATATGCAAGGATGTTTCCAAACGAGATTGAAGAATAGCTTGCTTCGATTCGTTGTTTTTCTGCTACCTACTGGAAAGCAAGATCAGTCAAATTTTTAGGCAACTTTGAATAGGTCAAATGTTGATGTCAAAGGAAGCTATATAAATATATATGCGAAGATAAGTCAAGCTTTCTATTATTTATGTATCTACTGTTTCACAGCTCTCCAAGAGCCAGGGAATCGAAGACAACAATTAAAACAACAATCGCGAACAATCGTGAACATAACACCAGTATTCAATAAATTTTTGTTCAAACCTGTAATCTGGTCACCTTTGGTTGGCTGTGAGAAACATACCTGCTTTCCCTGCACGTGCGGTAAAATGACATTTCTCTAAGCAACAATTGCTTAATATTTTGTTTTCATTCGAGTTGTGAGGTTTTAATCAGAGCAAAATAGAGTTAGTAATTAAACAAAATGGTTAAGGAAAAACCACAAAAAACGGAAAAAGTTAAGAAAAATAATTCTTTGCCAGAAAAGCCATCTTCTAGTGCAGCAACGGGCGAATCTGCCATTTGGCAGGATGAACGTTTTCAGCATCTGGTCAGCGATCCCCGTTTTCGTGGCATACCTAAAGTGCAGCGAAAGGTGAAGATCGACAAACGTTTCCAGAGCATGTTTACTGATGACAAATTCAAAGTAAAATATACAGTTGACAAGTACGGGCGACGTGTTAATAAAAGCAATGCCGAAGATTTACGTAAATACTATGAGCTTAACTCATCTGATACTGAAACAGATGAAGATGAACCCGAGAAGAAACCACCAGTTGCCAGCGAAGATAATGATGATGAGATAGATGAAGAATTTGAGCGACGCAAGGAGGAAAAAGCCATCATACGTGATGATGACTCCGGAGAGAGTACACCAAGTGATGAAGAAGCAGGTGAAAATGATGAGCTGGCAAGCGATGCTGAGGAAATACCAAAAACTTTGCGTGAACGCTTGTTGAATCCAGATATTGATTATGCGCGCGGCGAGGGAAGACTGGTAACAGATTCTTCATCGGATGACGAGTCTACCGAAGAAGAAGATGAACTTGAAGCTAACATAGATCATGTATGGGGCGAATTGGATCAAGAAGCAGAAACTACGGAAGAATCCACCAACAGATTAGCTGTTTGCAATATGGATTGGGATCGCATACGTGCAGTAGATTTGATGGTTTTGTTTAGTTCCTTTCTGCCGCCTGGTGGCAGTGTTTTGAGCATTAAGATTTATCCATCTGAATATGGAAAAGAACGCATGCGTGAAGAAGACGTCCATGGGCCAATTGAGTTGGTAGGACTTGGGAAGGAGATGAATAGAATGAAGGTTTGTAGCTATATGTTTTCTTATTTAAATTTGCTTTAAAATATAATACTTTTTGTTTGCAGCAATCAGATGCCGAAACAGACTCTGATGATGATGAATTAATACAAGAACAGGATAGTGATGCTGAAGAAGGCGATGAATATCATATGGAAAAATTACGTCAGTATCAATTGAATCGTTTACGATATTATTATGCTGTGGCCGTCTTTGACTCTATAGCAACAGCGGATAAGATTTACAAAGAATGTGACGGCATTGAATATGAGAGCTCGGCAACGCGGGTCGATTTGCGTTTTATACCCGACGATACCACCTTTGATGAAGACGAACCCACTGATATATGCACCGAATTGCCGGATGTGAACAGCTATAAACCCAGGCAATTTACAACAACTGCACTGCAGCAGGCGAAGGTCGATCTGACTTGGGATGAAACAGCTGTGGAGAGACAGGAATTGGGTGAAAAACTGTCCAGCGGTAAATTAAATGAAATAAGTGACCAGGATTTACGCAAGATGGTGGCATACAGCAGTGAGGAAGATGAAGACAGCAACGATGAAGGCGATGAGCAGCAAAACGAGGGAAAGGAGGGTGAGAATCAAGATAAAAGTAGCTCAGAGCATTGTGTCGGAAAGCCCAAACGTAAAAAAGATGAAATAATAAACAAATATAAAGCGTTATTGGCAGAAATCAATGAAAAGGAACAGAAGAAAAAAAATAACAAATTTGAAATGGAAATAAGTTGGAATGTGGAGGAGCAAAAGGATGATAAGGACAAGCAAGCTGAAGAAACTGAGAATGAGAAAAAATCACAACATTTAACACCAATCGAAAAGGTACTACAAAAACGCAATGAACGCAATAGACAACGTAAAGATGAGCGTAAGAAAAAGAAATTGCTAGGACGGGGCTTGGACCCCGACGCTGACACTGCCTCCGACTCCGATAGCATACCCGACGGCATTGACATGAACGACCCATATTTCGCTGAAGAATTCGCTAACGGCGATTACGTTGACCCAAAAGCGAAAAAGCGTGATAAGCAAAAGAAACAGAAAAATGGTTTGGATAAGCAGCTGGCGGCTGAGGAAGGCGAGAAGCAAGCAAAAGAGTTGCAACTTTTGCTGGACGATGATGACCTAGAAGAGCAGGGCAAACAGCACTTTAGTTTAGAGAAAATATTGAAATCTGAACAAGAAACAAAATCCAAACGAAAGCGTCGCAAACAATTGAAGAAATCCAAATCAGCAATTGCCGATGAAACCAAACCCGTTGAAGATAACTTCCAGATAAATATAAATGACGAACGATTTAAGGCCGTTTACACTTCGGCGAAATTCAATATTGACCCTACCGACTCGCATTTCAAGAAAACCAAGGCGATGGAAATGATTATACAAGAGAAATTGAAGCGAAGGCATGGTGATGATAGTGGGAAAATTAAAAACGACGCTGACATGCAGGACATGGCAGCCAAAAGACCGAAGAAGCAATTGGAGAACACACTGCTGGTGAAGAGTTTGAAGCGTAAAATTCAAATGAAGCAACAGAAATGATTTTTTAACTAGTTTTTGTCGAAATTAGGGTAGAAATTGTTGATATGTACATATACATACATATAAATACATATATATATTATATATATCTGAATGTTGACTAAATAGAAGAAGAATAAAAATATAACGAAATTTAATATTGTGGTTTATTTAGAACCAAGCGGATATCGGTACTGATTCCTGTATCAATACTGTCTCTTTCAGTAGCAGAACCATTCCACCCTGTTTCCACATGCCGCCAGGTATTATTAAAGTACTCAGATACACTATGAGGGCCGGATGTATTAATTCCATCGGGACCTTGGTATTGGGGTTTGATTAGCCTGGTTACCCCTTGAATCTTTTCCCAGGTGAAACCAAATGTCGTGAGGAGTTCGATAGTTTTCAAAGTCGGCTAAAATAGTTCGTACACTTGTTCTTCCCATTAAACCCGATTTACTAACGGCCATATTGAATTCCATAATTTCTCCGAAATCGGTTACGCCTTGATGGTAAATCTTCCTCTTCAAATTTCCACTATGAATTCGGCCGAAATAAAGCAAGCAATAGCGGTTACCCCTGCTCTTATCTCATCAGTGGGAATGCGGAGGGAACTGAAGACGTTCTGGAATTTATGAGCGTCTGGATATTGTATTCGGCTTAGTTCTTACGTATCTAGACTTGATCCCGACTTACTAAAAGTGAGTACTGCATGCCAGAAGACCCCGTATGACACTAATCACCATATCTAGCACTCACCTATCTCTGGTCTGAACCCGTCGAAACTGCTCGTTTCCTGGATCTTCCGTAAAATCATTTCGATGACGTAGACTAGTTTTGCCAACAACAACAAGGCTGAGTGTCGATAGTCCCACGCAGTTATTTTCTGTTGTTTACTTTCGGAATTTTTTTTCGGATCGACTCGGTATATCCAGTTTGCTAAGGTGGTCGCCCAAATTTTATGAGAAAGAGTGTAAGATTTCTGAAAGTGAAGAAGAGGTAAAGGTGGTCGTTCACCCTCAAACGTCGAAGATTACCAGTAGTCTGAACAAACGTTATCATTCAACAGTCATTGTCATATGAGTTTACGAGAGAGACTGTCTCAGATGTTGGAGGGTGATACGAGTTATAAAAATTCAACAACAGCAGGCAGAGGACAGCACCCGGCGAAGCCTCTTCATGTCTAATATCCTACTTGTTTCCCGCCATAAGGATAGACCTAATTTTATTTATCTCGGATAACGATTAGACATTCGCAGTTTGTCTTTTTGGTACCTTAGTCCTCATATCCTTTTGATTAATCTTCAAAAGCTCACTAGTTCCACTTAAGCTTTCTCGACACTTTTGGGACGTACTTTATATAGAAAACGGTTTTCAACTTACATCTTACATTTATTACAGTAATTAAAAGTAAATGAATAAAACTTTAATCTATTTTTCAGTACAACTAATTCTCATTCTCCTTCGTTCGCTTCTGATTGACATTACGAGGACACGGCTCAAAGCCTTGTATAAGTTGCCTGTAAAGTTGAGCCACTTTGCTATTTTTCAAACAAACGCTGCCACCACCACGCACCAGCTGCTCTCTCTGTCGATTAATATCGCCCACACAAATCCAATCTGCGCCGCCAATATGCCAACGCCAGAGCTTAAGGCCAGTCTCTTGTGAGACAGCCCATTTCGAGTGATCCGATGTGGTGTTGAAAGCGATTTGAAGTTGTTGTTCGTGAATTTCGCGTATGTTGAAGACTCTGAGGAGTGCGAAGAAGGAAAAAAATATTTAAAAAATGTTTTGACTTACAAATATATATAAATTTTTGAACACTTACTTATCACTTTTTGTACAATTCGACTCCAAATTGCCGCCACCATTACGCCACGTCTCCACCAATAGATTTACATCCAACTCGGGCGCTATAAAGTCCTCATATAATTCCGTCACGGCCTTACCACTTTTCGCGAAAGATTTGAATTTCGTGCCGCCCAAAGTTTCTAGCTTGACTTTATTCTGAAATGGCGCCTCAGTCTGCCACTTGCCCGCGACAACTTGCTCCAAGATGGGAAACTGGGCGAGCACTTTTGCTGGCGTGCGTTTATAGTAAATGAGTGGAGCCATAAGACGCAGCTGTGTGGCGACCTTATCCACTTCGCTGGCTTGCAATGACATACAAAGAAAAGATTGTCCATATCGGCCACCAGTGAGTGGATATTTGTAGACGGGTATCTCTGGATAATGCGGCACGGAGTGTACCAACCAAACAGCCGACTCGCCGTCGGTTGCGAGCAGACCTTTAGCGTGCGCCTTCAATGTGCTCGAGTTGCTATTGGGCTTCTGATCATTGTAGGCGACAATCAGCACGCGTTCGTCATCGAAGAGTGGCTGCAGCAGTTTGCCCGGCATCGATTCCGAGGTGGTGACCTCGTGTGTGGATAAACGCCAGGCATCATAGTTGGCGCTTGTGATGTAGAGGTAGTTGAAACCGCTGCTATTGCGTCGGGCGCCATAATGCGTGTGTATACGCGGCAGTTTGTACATGTAGAACCTGGTGTTTGAAAGAAGGTAAAGGTGTTTATAAATACATAAAATTTAATTGTAATTCTCTTTTGGAACTCACCAATCAACTGGCGCGCCATCTTCATCTCTACAAACTACCTTTGAGGCTGCATTCTTGGCAGCCAGACCACAAAGGATGGGTAATAATAATAACAACAACACACTGCGACTCATTGTTGTTGTTGCAACAAGTTTTAAATCCAAACTGCGTAAAATTTACTTTCTTGAAAGTAAAGAAATTCTTCTCACCAATAAAGCGCTTCCAATGACGCCACTTCTCAAACTGAGCTCACAAAATCGATCGGTGCACCAGCAGCCAACACTTGCCGCTTGGAATGTAATCAAAGAAGCCAGACATTGAGAACAAAGCATCAAGATCAATGAATAACAACAAATAACAATGCCACCGTTTGTTGTTGTTTCTGTTTGTATTGTGAGCGCATGAATGAGTCAGACGCAATGATAAGACTTGGCTTCGACACTTACTCACTCATTTGTTCACTTCCAACACCCTATAGAGAAATCAGTATTATCTGCACTGGTTACACATCCAGTTCCATTGGGTGGAGTTGTAGTCATCCTTTTCTCTCGTTTTATTCTCTTTCAATGCTGAAAGGAAATTTTCACTTTTCAGCACAACAAGTAGGAAAAGAAAACGGTACTCAAGTTTATCTGTCACAAACAGCTGATCGTCAAAATCCGAGCTGTGTTCGTTGGGAAATGTCAGTACAAATGAGTCAGTAAAGGAATGGAGAGAATAAAATAATATTTACTGAGTTTTCACCGGACAAGATTCAAATCAAATTTAGTCAGCAAGTTGTACAACAGCTGTTTATTTTGGCGGTTAAATTTGAATCCGTTCATTTCTGAAGTGGAATTTTTTATTTATTAATTGCGTTCAAGGTTTTTTGTACGTCGGCAATTATGAAATTCTACATGCTTTTAGTCGTCAAACGATGAACATTAAAATAAGATTTTACCAATAGTTCTCCAAAAGAACGTGGACTGATGTAGAAAATGTTTCGCAACAATTTGTTGCTTAGATAATAGATTTTCATTAAGGATGACTTAAATACGAAGATGAGTTCGGTCGGTAATATTAACTGATCATTATTATAAAGTTTCTTCCAATCTGTTAAATAAAATCCAAGAAAAAGCTTTATTTTCCCTTTAAAACCTGTACACAAGCTCCCACGTCTCTGTTGACAACCATAACTTCAAGGCCTTAGATAACTTCGTCTATCTTGGAACCAGTATCAACGTCAACAACAATGCCAGCCTGGAAGTCGAACGCAGAATCACTTTTCCCAACTTCTACTTTTGACTGAGTAGGCAATGGAAAAGTAAAGTCCTCTACCCACAAACGAAAACCAAACTCTATATGACCCTCATCGTTCGCGTCCAGCTATATTGTGCGGGGACATGAACGATGACAACATCCAATGAGTCGGCGTTAGGAGTTTTCAAAAGAAAGGTCTTGCGTAAGATTTATGGACCTCTGCGAGTTGCGAATTTTTGCTCCATTATGTGGCCGCTGTAGTAATAGTCACAAGATCCTACTCGCTTTCGTCCTTGTCCCATCGATCGCAGTACTAGGACGGAGATGTCAGCCTTTGGCTCAGGACATCAGCCAGCTGGGCAGTGGCGCAATCCCAATTAAGGGACCGGAAATTCCTGGTGCATGCCTCAAATCGTGATCCTTAAGTCGTTTGAAGGGGTCGTCAAGATAAAAGGGGTATCTCATCCGAGGTGTTGTTAAATTTTTCATTGAAGTTGGTTGCTATGTGTCGGGTCCCAAGCCCAGTGCACAACCTCTCGAGTAGTTTTAAAGTTTTTACACATTTATATAGTAAGCCGCTTGCTCCAAGACTGGCGTCCGCTCGCAGCCGTACCTCTGGTGAACAGACGGTGCAATTAGACTTCAGCGGACCCTTAAACCGAATAAGTCGGAGTGGCTCCACTGAAGCTTCCTCTCTCATTAGCCGTGACCCAAGGTTCCACACTGGTTGTTTACCGCATTTTTCACAAGAGTTGCTCATGTTTCCAGGGTGCGCGACGTGGACGCAAGAGTTGAAATTGAGTACAGCCTCGCAATTGTAACCATTACACCAAAAAAAAAAACTATTATATATATCATGATGCGATCTACGCCCAAGCTCCTCCTTCAGTTTTGTGGTGTGCGGCAAGTTGAATTTTCAACAAACGGAGGAACCGAAAGCTTAAGATAAGCCGCTTACTCACGACTAATGATATTTTATTACGAGCTTTTTTTTAATTCAATATCAGAGATACAAGTATATCCGGCTCGGGTTCGAGTTGACATTCCCTGCCTAAGGGAAATAGAAGTTAAAGATTTAATTAAAATTGGTATGACCGAGATTCTGGAGCAAGAACTAACCAAAAGTTCACAAGTGCGACCGCCTGTAACTTTAAACTCAAGAACGCTTAAGGAAAATCTTCATATAAGTATTAGAAAGCAATTTTCCTCCGTCGAATATATCACTTGGAATGGGCGTGCCATGCAGGGGGTAGTAAATGTGAACTATACGGTCTTCACAAGTCAGCTAGTGAAGCGAGCTTAAAAATTAAAAATGGAATGGTCAAACAGAAGTGGGAGGGCTTGTAAGTGTGAAGAGTCATTATTAGTTTATTAGTCAAAGAGTCGATGCAGTGACCCCGCCTTCGCTTACGAGTAAGTGGTTCAAAGCGTTAGACTATCAATTTAGAATTTAGAATTTTGAAACGTCCCGTGCAACTTGTACTTGAGCGTACAAAACTCCTTTCTGACGAAGAGTCTATATTCTTACGTTTAACTAAAAGACTAAAGATGTTTATACTGGGTTAAAGTGAGTTGCATATTTACATACATTATTTGGCCAGCGGTTGCATTATTCGGTATTGACTTAGATTATCAAATAAACATTGAAACGCTTGTTCTAAGATAACTCTGTTGAATCGTTTTTGGTGAAGCTGGTGCGTGTCAGTTGCTTTGGTTTAAGATAACCTTTCACTGCACAAAGTCCAGACATAACATTTTTAGGAAAATTGATGGAATTGATGTAGTAGATTTGTCAATTCTCACTTTTCTGAAACTGACCACCGAACTTTTGTTCCGAATCCTTGAAATACTGTGAAAAATATGCAATATTTACAACACAACCCTGCAGCGAAATATACTAGTTAGTAGCTAGCTAGAATCCAACTGGTATGCATTTTGGCACTAACTAATTCATCTTCCATCCATTTCCTATCAATACAACTGATATTTGTAACACGGCTATGTCCTGCTAACTGTTAAATGTAATATGTCTGATTATGGATCAGTCTTATCAAAAGGAATTTGCCTGCAGTGAGTTTCCAGCCGTGAACCTCACGCTTCACTGTGATAACCTTGAACCTCACGGTATCGTGGCGCTGGGGGAAGAAGATTGTTACTTATGAACTGCTATACAAAGGATCAACTGGTATGATTTCGTCTTAAAAATACCAGTATTTAACTACTATAGAAGTTTTGCTTACTAGTTTATCTTCTCCCCGCAGGGTATTTAGTGAAACTTGGGTGTCTCTGTGAGAGGACAGCTATAAATACGCTGCAAATTCTAGGTAAAAGTAAGCAGAGTTCCTCCCACCTTGACGGTGCGTCAATGGAGCCAACTAGAGCTATGCGTTTTAAGGAGAAAACAAAAAATTCTGGCAATAAATTCACTACAAAGTTAATGGAGTACAAAGACAAGAGAAAGAACTGATCGCTACACGAGGGGAAGTAGAGACTTATTAGGCATGAAACTTCCACTAGCAAAAATATTCGGACAGGTCCTGAATACCGTCATCATATCGTCAGACGACGCTGTTGCCGTATGCTCGTCAGCATTATCGCCATGGCTTTCTATCGCTTCTTATCGTCTCTTATCCCCTAATCATTTTACTGACGATTCTTAAACGTAACAGACGATGCTGAAATTAAAGCCGCTTGTCGTTGTTCGACGCAGCGATAAAAATGACAATGAAGATTGACGGACGTCAGCGAACACGTAGACGATATTCAGCATAAGGCCGATTAATCTTTGCAAAGAACAAACAATTTCTCAAGCAAGATAAGTAGCATCAGAAAGCGTGATCTCATAAAATAGAGAACAGAGACTACATAGCTAAAAGGTAATAAGTATTCAGATAGTTCCATGTTCAACATATAGCTATACAATTTTAAGAGTGTTAAGATAAAATTGTAGATTTCTGCTATTGACAGTCTCTAGACGGCGCTGGAAGAAGGTTGAGATTGGATGAACATGAAAATAATATCATAAGGCTAAGATAATATTAGGGCACAACAAAGAGCTCCCCCTGACCTTCTTGCCTGCAAAAGCGAACCAAAAACGTCTATCTCGTGGTACATGTGACAACACAATTGTGAACTGAATTGCTTCTTTTTGTGATCTCCGTTTAGAGAATCGGTAAGAAAAGAACGCGATATCAATGATGGAGTTTTGACTTGAAAATAGATCAAACCAATTTGGCACAAGACGTACTTCGGTAAACACTGCTCTCGTAAGTCTGGAGTATACATCAAGCAGATGGCAAGAGACCCAGATGATCTTCATTCCGAAGTATAGTAAAGGCACCTCTGCAACTAGACCGTATAGACTAGGAAGTATGACAGGGCTCTGCAGCGTTTGGATGCAACCTTGTCATCATATCTTCGTGTTAGCTTCCCAATCGTCTATCATGGGTAGCAAACGGGGTACTTGAAATCGTAGCTGATTGCACTGAGAGGCAAGGACACTTCGTTAACCCGGAAATAACTTTGATCCGCTCTTATGCGAGCGTTTACGCGAGGTTCTGGCTAACTGCATCCTGCTGTTTGTGTTTTTTGCTTTAAGGTATAATGCAAAAATTCCAATCTCAAAAGATTAGCGAAGAGATACGGTTGAACGGCATCTAATGGTCCAGATTATCTCATCTTTTTACGTTTTCCCATTAATGCTTTCTTTGAGCGGTATGTTATTGGGGCCTGCTCAGGGTCAGATGCATCTTATGGTATTGGGTGAGACCATTTTTGCAACGAGCCCAGCGCGCAATTCGAATATATTCAACATTCCTCCTCACCTGCTTAAACAAAGGGAAAGGCAAAAAAATATCTTTGAAATACCCCCCAAATCGGGCAAGTAACTCGGTATAAGCCCTAATAAAAAACTAATCAACTGGACTGTTGTAGCCAAGTTATATGTATATTAGCTTTACATGGCTGTCGCAGGACCCATTCTCACTTATGGAGAGCTAGTATGGTGGACGAAACCAGAGAGATGCTACATTATGACTACAATTCAGTATTCCAAACAGACTTAGTAGAGCTTACTAAACGTGATAAATGATCAACGGCTTCAACAGCGATATCTATGAAGTTACTTGTTGGCTGCCGCTCGACAATTAAGCGCGTGAATCACTCTCTTTGTAAGTGTCCGGTCTTCAGCCGAATGAGGCGACATGTCTTTCGCAATGCCATAAGCTACTTCCTACTGGAAATAGGCATGTATAAGCGGAAGAATTGTAGCCCGTTGTGCCTACTCAATGGCTTAAGCGTAGCCGTCGCGGTCTGGTTCTCAACCGCTTCTTTTTAACCCACCAATCAGTAGTGGAATTTCGGGGCCTCGAGGGCAAATCAGGACTATAAATCTTTTGTAATGGATGTTAGTCTCCATGGAACTAATGGAGAATTTAAAATCATGCATTCTTTCATACTTTTCTGAAGAAAAAATTAAAGAAAATATTTTTTTTTTCAATTATATATTTCGTTATATTTATTTTAGTGCAGTTACATATATGTATCATTTATGAATATAAATAAAATTCAAATTTTTACAAACTTATCCATATATATTTGTATACTTTAAATAGCATTTAGTAATAATAATAATAATAATAATAATAATAATATAATAATATAATATTTAATAGTATTTAATAGATAATCATAATAATAATAGCATTACTACATATATATAGTACATACATATATCGCGTGCTGTTTCCTTACACTGGAGCTAGAAAACGCTGAGCACACCGAAAACGTCTCAGCTCAATTTACATACATACATATCGGTATTCAATTCTCTAACCATCGCTATCAATAAAAACTAATTTCAACGCCGCTCTTTCTACTACACAAATCCGCAGCGCTGCGTCAATATCGTTTGAGTAAGAAAATTCTTTATTAAAATACAAAAAGCTTCCGCTTACACGGCACCTAGAATTCAATACGAGCGAGCACCCTTTCACCAGCTCACTGGCGTCGCACTGTGCGCTCGCGACTCTCCTCACGATGTAGGCCATGCGCACGCGGCGGCGATGCACTGCCATTGGTGGCGCGTGTCTTGCGCGATCGCTTAAACTTCGCCATATCCTCGCCGAAGACATCGCCCGTGCGTAGCGCTGATATCAAGTCGTCGAATTCACCTTTATTATTATCGCCGCCGCCCCTCACTGGCGAATCACGACCCGTTGTGCTCGCAGACGATGTGAGGCCCAAATTGCGCGCAACCGAAGTCATAAGACCCTCTTTGTTCTTGCGCTCGATGGTGCGTTTCTTAAGCTCAGCCTCCTGTTTGGCTCGTTTCTCATCCTCTTCTTGCCGTTTGCGGAAGTTTTCGTTATCCTGACGCGCCTCAGCGAATGTGGTCAAGAATGTATCGAATATACCGAAGAACTCATCTGGCTGTAGTACGGCACCATCTTCACCGAAGAGACGCACAGCGCGATCGAAACGAGTTTTCATATCTTGGAATTTATCCTCCAACTCGGCGAAACGTACGGAGGCTTGCGCATGGAATTCACGCATTACAGGTAAGAAGCGATCGCCGGGTTGTGCCGGACCGGCTGAACGATGGAACTCGATTTCACGCGCCACATCCGCCAAACCGGTGCGCAGCATTTGTATATCCTTGTCCATTTCGGCGAGCGAGACTTTGGATGCCTCACGTACGTGCGGTATGTCATCCTCTAGCTTGAGCAAATCTTTGAATTTCTTATCGATCACTTGTACCAGATAGTGCAGTAAGGTAGTGCCTTTAGCGGCACTAGATTTGGTGTCACCCAGCCGATTGAGAGATGCGAGACGGAAGCCGGAGGCATTGCCGCGTGCGCCACGATTCATGTAGTTGCCTGGAAGTATGGGAAGATGGCATTAAATTAGTGAAGTTGTAGAAAATTAGAAAAGGAAGGTAGGGTTTGTTAAGCGAAGAGAAGAATCAATTTATTTTTAGATTATTTTTTAAGAGATAATCACTTGAAGCAGGAGTCGTCTAAACACTACTCGAGCAGTACAATTTATCTCACACATTTTATTAATTCAAGCTTTGGATAGTAGCAAAGTTGAAGAAATTTCATCGACGGAAGGCATTTCATGCGGCGGTGAACCTGACCACCGTTGGCACTTCTGCTGGTGGCGATAAAAGTCCTCCATTTTTAGTAAGAAAGAGGTTTCGGACGGAGCCAACGAATAACTATAGGCGACGGTGGCTCGTATCCCTCATATTGGTGGGCCTTCGGGGCTAGTATCCATTGAAATGTTGAGAATGAGGTTTTCATAATTGGAGCTCGAGTTCAACCGAAAGTTTATGAACGGAGAGAGTTGACAAAAAATTATCAGCGGCGGTGGTTTGCGAAAAGATTTGCCTAACGAATTGAAAAAGGATAAATGTCGGTTGAGGCATCTCATTCTTCAACAAGTAAAGGTCAGAAACTACAGCAGCTTTCTGTGAAACCACAAATTATGGACGCCAATATGCTTTGTAAAAGATTATCGTTAGCACCAATCGACAGTGGATGCTGGTGATTTATGCCGCGTTTGTGAAGGTGCTCATGGAGACTTCAGTAGTCTGGGAGATTGTGTGGTAACAGGAGCCCTAGACAACAGTTCTGTTAGCCATGCTGCCAATGTACTCCAGCAGCAGTGAGTACTATAAGTCGAAAGTAGGTTGGGTTGGCTTAAGTTGAAGAGGCTGCTGGGCATCGGCTGACTTAGGTCACTAAACGGCCCGAATATATACTTGGAACCTACTCGTTAGTTAAAGCAATGTGTTGAGTTAACAAAACAACGCAATCGAAATATCTTTGCACCCGATATTTCGCTCAAGTCTCTAAAGGTAACTCCCGCAGTAGTAGTTTGATAATACGCCGCGTCTCTCCGAGTGTTCACCTAATGGAAAATATCCCGTAAGAAGATCCATCACTGTAGATATTTCGTTTCTCTCTCTAGGACTTATTCCATGTCGGCACATATCCGTAGATACATTACAACACTTCCGATTCTTCCATGCTGACTTAGCATATTAGATAACAAACCGCATGACCAGATTCTCCTAAGATTGCGAAAATGGAAGTGCCCTTCCTACCAAACTCGTCCGCTATCTCGTTACCTTGTATATTGAGAATGGCATTCACATTAGCTTAAGATATAACGGCGAAACAGGTATGTATATCCACAATTGGAGGGGAGGCTTGGTCAAAAATCGATTGAGTCCCATGCCAACTAAATGAAACCTTTGTTAACCTCAAAGTTTGTAAACGGAGCTCTGCACTTCTTACTTAGTCACATTTGTTAATAAAAAACCGTGAAATCAACAAATCTGTGGATCCTCCTACTTCCCTAACGGTTAGTTTTTGAAATTAATTGTCTAGGCACGCAATACCAATGGACTGTAAGACCAAATGGACACTTTACTTGAGACTCCCTCTCAGAGTTGGAATAAAAGCGATTTCTCCTTTCACTTACCCAATGCCAGAACCAGCTCAAGCAACTTGCGCAGACGTCTCGAACGCGCTATCTCACGAGAGGCCTCCATAACGCTGCGAATGCGGGGTATTAGATCGTTAACGGTGATCATAAAACGTTTCTTGTAGTGTAGACTCTTCAAACGTTGCTCGTAATGGGGAATTCTACAAGAAGTGAAAGAAAATTATTAATAAGCAACAACAAGAATGACAAAAGCTTTGCTACGCACTTTGAAATTTCGTACAGAAACCGATCGGCACGCGCCAAAGACTCAATATCTTCGCTGTGCTCATCCAGTAGTGCGCGTTCCTCCGCAGAGGGTGTAAATTTCAGCAACTGCTCGACCATATCGAGAGCTAACTGTTCATTGCTATCCATAGATAAAATAGCCCTACGGAATGAAAACAGGTTCAAAAATTAGTTAAAGATGTAATTGGGACCCGGCTCTGGGGTTAAGTTCAAACTTACTTGGAGATCTCCTCATCGCTCATCTTCAATTTACTCAAAAGTATGGTACAGTTTTGTGCACGTCTGCCATCGATGACGGAGAGTATTTTTGTGCGTTGTTTGCCCATCACACGTAGATCCTCAACGGAGCCATCATTCTATATGATAAGTTTTGAAAAAGGTTTACACTCGGTGCCCATGACCGGAAACTATAATCAAAGACACAACTTACAACCACACCATTTTTCTGGTAAGCAGAGAAGAGCTTATCTATCGCCTCCAACTCCATATTGTTGTACCATTTGGACTCATCCAGCTCACTCCAAACAGTGCCTTGCACTTTCGCATCGGGCAACTTCGACCAATTGAAACTCTTAAGCGGATTTGAAGGTTGTGGCACATTCTTTTTGGGCACCTCGGTTTTAGGTGGCGGTGGCGCTGTAAGGTCACGTGAATTAATATACACTTAAAGAGATTAGAATACCAAGGTACTCACCCATTGTCGTTGACATGGCGGGGGGTGGTGGCGCGCCTGGGCAGGGTGGTGGAGGTGGTGGCGCAGCAGCCATTGGCGGTGGCGGTGGTGGCACCATTTTCATGAGTGGTGGTGGCGGCGGTGGTGAGACGGCGCCATTACAACCGGTAAGACCGGCTACTTTCTGATCATCCGGTATGCTACCTTCGGTGACTAGTCGTTCGAGACGTACACGCTCTTGCTGTTCGGTCATGAGACGATGTTGTAGATCCTCCGCCTTCATTTCGGCGGTTTGTGCGCGTTGTACGGCTTGTGAGTGATTGGCCGACTCTTTTTCGAGTCGTTCCCGCATACGCGTCAAACTTGTTTCCAAATCCTCCTTCTCCTGTTGTCGCTGATCCAGCTCTTGTTCCCTTTTGGCGAGTCGTGATTGCACTTCGAAATTTTCACGTTCCAATTCGTCGGCACGCCTACGTGCCTCCGTCAGTTCTTCCTCTTTCACCAACAACTGTACAATTTCGCCGACGTTTATTTGTAGTGGCGCGACATCGGGATCTCGTACTGTGAGCGAAGATAGTTTCTCTTTGTTTGGGTCATCGTGATCGATGCCACTTTGTGGGCGTCCTTCGGTCTGTAGCACAATTTGCTGTACGACACGGTCAAACATGAGCCAGTGTTGTGTGCTGGGTCCGGTATCTGTGGTAATACAAGAAAGGTTTTATTAAAGTGCCGCTGGTGGAGTAAATCTTGAGTGGGTTACTTACATGGCAACAACAACATATGTTTCAGCAACGATAACAGATGTGGGTATGCCGGCGAGTGGCTCAATTTGCGTCGCAACAAATCAAACATGGCTGTAGCGCTTTTCGTATCCACATGTTCGTGATCGAATCTGCGTGCCAGCTCCTTCTCATCTTCGGCGCGTACCATTTCGAAGAAATCCTGTAAGGGTTAAGGCAATAAATGAGCGGAACTCCTTCGGCTTTATGAAATTTCTTACTCACCAAATGTCTATCGAGCGTCTCGTTCTCGTGCTTACGCAATTTCTCGATTACCGGCTGTAAGCCAAGCATCAGAAATTCATAGCGCAAATGCAGACGGAACTCGAGACTCTCCTGTCCGGGTCCGTAGTTCAGCACAGCATTGACGAATGACATAATGGCGGTCTGTAGATTGATGCTATCACTGTAGGCGTCACGCATGCGATCCAGATCATTGATGACGGTCTTTGGAAAAGAGAATCAACTCAATAATTCAAAGTCCATTGGTTTCAAGCAATTCGCACAACTCACCTGAAAACGCACACGCTCTGCCGCAAATTCCTGGAAGTTCAACATAGCCTGCAAGACGTTACGATGACCACCGGGTACCAAACAGACGGCACCCAAAATCTCCAAAGCCGCGATTTTCGTTTTGACATTATCCGCCGCCAACGAACGCGCAATTATGTCGATCGCGGTGGGATGGGCCAGCACATGTGCCCGTCCAGTCTGCAGACAAAGAAACAAAGTCATAAATATAAGCACAGCTTTCCCCCCGCCCGCACACTTACCGAGTTGTTCATCAGCGCTTTAATGCAGCCAATAATACGTGTATGCAGCTGACTGTTCATCACGCAAACGTCCATCTGTTGCAGCAGATTGAGCAGACATGGTAAGCCGTCGAGATCGACAAAACGCAACACAAAGCTGTGCGTCGATGTGCGTAACGCTGTTTTGAGTGCATCCAAGAATGGTCCATGTCCCTCGATGCGCATAAAGTATTCATGACTGTTGGAATCGTCAAAGCTGAGCGTCACATAGCGTGCTAACGCCTTGAGGTTTTCGATATAGTAATCGGCTGTGGGTGGTTGTGCGATCGCCGCCGCATTGCCGTCCGTTGTATCGATTGGTTGTTTGCGTGAACAATAGATTTGCCATTTCTTTTGTGGCGGCAAATTAAGCATGGCCTCTTTATTGGGTGCGGTAAGGTCGAGTTCTTCCACGAGTTCTGCAAATTTCGCATCCAATTCGTCCACGGAGGGCATGGGTTGTGTAGGTGTGAGTGTTTGTAGCGTGAATGCGCCTTCAACCACACAAATTTCCGGTGGTTCGTCATCCTGTGAATATAAGAAGATGAAGGGTTTTAGAGGATTAAAGAACGCATTTAGCACTTAGACATGAAAAGGTCTACTAAAATACATATATTATAGTTATAGAAGACAATCCATAGCCCTGCAGATTTTGGCTTAGGGACGGGTCAGAGCTGTATCCACTGTCGAAGTTGTTTCAGAAAAGAAATGGAATAATGTATGCACTGACAATGAGTGAGTAAATTTTCAAATCGCATACATTCACCAATCCGAATGAGGCAAAGGCTACAGAAATCAGGCGAATTTGCAAATTTTCTGACATGTACTAAGTGTTTCATTTAATTAAAAGTTGTTTAGCGATCTGGATACTTTTACTCTTTTCGACATCAGAATTGATATGACTATATGGGATACTCTCAGGAAGCTCACCTATCCCACTCCTAACCTGTCGTAAGAAGCGCCAAAAATCCAATAGCTTCCGCGATAGTCGGTTTATACCGCGTATAAAACCACGGAGAACTATAAATGATTTGAGGAAGTTGTTCCAAGTATTTAGATAAAATCCAAGGGACTGAGTTTAGCACTTTTTTTCGGAGCCTAAATCAACTATGTAGAAAATTAACTTAAATTAGGAATTTAAGTTAAACTTCCTAATTGCGGTCGCCCCTCGGCAGGGTATGTCGAACCCTCCGAGTGTATTCCGGACATGAAACAAAGTTCCTCATAAAAACCATCCGCCATTCGGAGGCGGCTTAGTAATATAAACTGTAGGTCCCTCCATTTGTTGGAAAAACATCAAAACGCAAAAAACCACAAATTGGAGGAGGAGCTCGGCGGAAAATCGCTTCCAATTATAATAATAAAAGTAAACTTATGTCCCAGAGCCGCCCAGAAAAGCTTTCTATTATAATTAATTTCAAAGTGTCATTGGGAATTTTCAACAGAAAAGACTTTTCCGATCTTTTAGGAGAAAGCTTTTAGAGAGAAAGCTCAATGACTTCAGGTAAAAAAACTAATTTTTTTTAAACGGAATCACAAAATCAAAAAAATCAGACTATTATATATTTTGGACTTTTATACTCTCCACTTTCTATAATTTAACTGAAAAATACTAGAAACATCTTCCGTTTTATCTGCGAAAATGAAAAAAATGTATTGTTTTTAATAAAAAATATCCGAAAATTTGTGTAGATCTGAAAATTTCCTTCAAATAACCGGATAATAATTTTTAATTTGTTTTATGGGTAGAATTTTGAAGAAATCCCTATGCTTACTAATCAAGATTTTCCAGCAGCAAATACAATTTTATTTAAAAAAAGTCTCCACACTCACTCAAAATGACTTATGAGTTTATAGTTTTGCTATATTTCATACATGAATGATGGATATCAAATGCAGAACTCAGATACATAAAATTTTCTAATTTAAAAGTTTTCTATAGACAATTAGTAAATATTCAAATTCTTTCAAGTCTAAAAAATCGTTTTTTTTCATAATTCTTCCCTCGAAATTCGTATCAAGCATTGTTCAGAGTTCGTTGCACAAATTGTAAATTTTCAAGTTTTACGAAATTCTCCTAAACTTATGTAGCTTTTTAAATTTTTTAACTTTTTTCGGTGTTTATGATCAAGTAATTAAAAAAAAAATATTGTATGTATGTATAGAAAACTAGATAGTCTCTCTGCGCAGTATACAAATTTTTTACTCAGTTCTAATAGAAAAAAATACAAAAAAACTTATTTTAAAAACATCTAATTTTTAATTTTAATTTTATTTTTAAATTTTTATAATTTCTAATAAGCGTTAAATTTGTTAGATTTCGAAATTTACGGAAGTCGCAAACATCGATTTTCTTTTCCAAACTCTGTTAAATGGTAGCCGCCAGAATTAATTTGAACATATTGAATATATAAAAATTTTATTGAAGTCTCCATAACGTATATAAATTTGTCATATGAAATTAATTTTTTTAATATTGGATGAGTGCATAAGTTCGTGCCCGATTCCGCTGGATGCCGTTCGAATCGTTTGAGAGTGGCGCTCGTGAAAGAAATACATACATATTATATTGTATATCGTTGGAAATGTGACAGTCCGAACTGTAAAAAATAACTTCATTTTGATTTGAGTTGCTTAGTGAAAAGAGGCATGGAAGATGGACAACGAAAAAGATCATATGTGTCATATTATGTTATACGAATTCCGCAAAGGAAAAACAGTAGTCGCTGCAACTAAAGATATTCGCGAAGTTTATTTGGACCGTGCTCCAGCATTCCGCCCAGTAAAGAGATGGTTCGCGAAATTTCGTTCTGGAGATTTTAACCTCGAAGATCAACCTCGCAGTGGACGGCCTTCTGAGCTTGATGACGACGTTCTAAGGACTTTAGTTGCGAATAACTCACGTATTTCGACGGAAGAGGTTGCCAGTGAATTGAATGTCAACAAATCAACTGCGTTTCGTCGTTTAAAAAAGGTTGGGTACTCTTTGAAGCTCGAATAGGGGTGCTACATCAGTTGAGTGAAAAAACAAAGTGAACCGTATGTCAACAGCAATTTCTTTGCTTCGACGGATCAAAAACGAACCTTTTTTGGATCGGCTCGTGACTGGTAATGAAAAATGGATCCTGTACAACAATGTTCAACGCAAAAGAACATGGAAACAGGCACACGAAAAGGTGGATTGCAACAGATGAAGGTAATGCTGTGCTTTTGGTGGGATATCCGAGGCGTGATCTATTTTGAGCTCTTACCAGCTGGAGAAACGATCACTGCCAACAAGTATTGTCAGCAATTGGTCGAATTGAAGAAAGCAATTGATGAAAAACTTCCGATTTTGGCCGCAAAGGAGTCCTTTTCCATCACGGCAACGCCAGGCCACATGTTGCAAAACCGACCCTGGCCAAACTGAAGGAGATGGATTGGGAAATCATGCCGCATCCCCCATATTCACCCGACATTGCACCTTCTGATTTTGAATGGAAAAAAATTCAAATATGTGGAAGATGTCAAAAACCACCTTGACACCTTTTTCAACGAGAAACCGCGCGATTTCTATGAATCAGGCATCGGTAAATTGGTTGAACGTTGGGAATGGATTGCCGAACATGATGGCGAATACATAATTGATTAATAAAAGCGCTTTCTTCAAAAAATTTCAATTTTAGTTTGCACTTGAAATCGGGCACAAACTTATGCACTCATCAATATTTATGATTATTTAAAAACTCCAGCTCTGTTAATTTGTTAACTGTTAATATAAATTTGAACATATTGAAACTTTAAAAATTTTATAAAAGTCTCCAAAATTTATTTAGCTTTCCAATATCGAGTTTTTACATTGCTTATGATTGTAGGAATGCTAATAAGTTGTACGATTTCAAGTTTTCTAATATTAAAATCTTTATAAAGTAGTTTCAGCTGCCTAAAACAATTTATTTGAATAAATTATAATTATAAAAATAAGTTGTAAGATTTCAAATTTACGAAAATCTCCAAGGTCTCCAATCACACCAATTACTTTAAAAATTAATTTTAGCTTATTATTTCAATTTATTTGATTGTTAAGAGGATTATAAATTGTACGATTTGAAAACCTGCAAAAGTCTCCAAAATTTTGAAACTATATAAAGATATATTTTAGTTGGCTAATACAGTCGAGTTGAATATTTCATTTATATTTTAAAAGTTTTATCACCAACTTCTTAAACGTCGTTTGCGCTCCCTGCTGTTAATTACTGGGAATTCGAATACCCGGTGTGTGCAAATTACCAAATCAAATAAACCATAAAAGTACATATCGGAAAAATTACAAAAAGCAAACAATAAATAACGGTAAATCAAATAGCAATAACTATGCCAACACCTTAGAAAGTAACCAAACCATAATGTGGAGACTTTTACTGTACACGTCTAACAAGTAGCCAATAAGAAAAATCAAAGAAAACTATTGCACTTTTTGATCCGCTTTGCTGATACACAGGCGCATATTGCTCTTACACATACTCATATACACATATATACAATATATATACAGTATGCGAAAAATATGCAGCAACAAATGCCTGCCATCGTCACTTGCTACTTTCAGGCTTTTTTCTAAAACTCTACATAGCGCTGGGACTGCTGAGCGTCGCTTTTCTAATGCCAGCACAAAAATTATGCCATCAAATATCGTTGTGTGAAAGTGAGTGTGGCCTTGTAATTAGCAAAAGCAATTGCATAAACATTTTTTGCCAACGTTAAGCCGTTAAGTTTTCGGTGGAAAGCGAGAGCGTCGTTATTGGCGAAATTGTTTTAATATCAAATTGAGTTGGTTTGCAAAAGCAGGGCCTTTGTATGTGTGCATATGTGTATGTGTGAAATCCTTTCGCATTTTTTGCATTTTTTTTTTTGGGTAATGCGAGCGATAAATTTAAAGTCTACTTAAGTACAAGTGCACGTAAAGTCAAAGGCTCGTAAAATTAAAGAGTAACAGCAAGGTAATGTGTCGTTAAAACGTTCATGTTATACAAAGCTGGGAGTCAATGAACTCTTGGACTTACATTTGCATGAGGAATTTTAGTATTTTTTAATGGTTTTCATACATAGATAGTGCATTAGAAAGAGAGTTATATAAACTTCAGGGCACGCTAAGCATTTGTATATCTGAATATCCCCCTACCAGGAATGGATTTAAAACTCCCATCAAGACAAAGCCTTTGGGTGAAATATCCAAAAATAAATTGCAAATTAATCTTCCCAATTGCTGTCAACGAACCCAGGTGCAATCTGACGCCAAATAGAAGATTATCATAAAAGCCCATCAGCCATTCAAAGGCAGCCTATTTGCAAACTGTAACAGCTTTGCTGAAAATCGCTGCAGTCGTTATTTCCAATCGACACTAAACAAGCTTTCTCTAGTTGAATCTTTATCATGTCACTGCTTTAGCTTCATACTGTAGAAAAGAAGAAGAACTGCAGCCTTCAACAAGGTACAATCTTTCACAGTAGCGTACAACTATTGGTGTATGCCAACCACATTGACATCATCGGTCTCAACACCTACATTGCAAGTTCTGCTTTCCCCAAACTGGAAAAAAAAGCGAAGCGTATGGGTCAGATTACAAATTAGGATTTCCCAATATATCTCCCATGATCAAACACACAGACTGCGCATTCGCGTCTTGGCTCCCACGTCACTATTGATAGTTATAACTTTGAGTTGTGGACAACCTTGTACTAATTGGGACTAAGTAAACTAAGTAAGCAAAATACTTTTAATATTTTCTCTATATTGACTACATCGGATGGGTCGGCACAAGCTCTTTTCGAGATTAATATTTTGCGAAGAATCTATGAACCTTCGTGTACTAGCGAAGGCGATTGAACGATGAGCTTTGCGAGATAAACGACGATATGATAACGCACAGCGAATTGTGAGGAACACGCTAAGATGGCTAACCCATGTTGTTCGGATCGATAAGACTACTCCAGCTTCGCAAATAATGTACTCGACGCAGTAATCCTTCTTGGAAACAGAAGAAGAGGATGATGTCTACTGAGCTAAAAAGTTGTAGTGAAGAAGGGTTTGCCTTAATTTGGTAAACTCAGTTGGTGAAGAGAGGAAGCAACTGGTGCACAATTACTGATCCGGTTAGAAGGCTATGACCTCCGGAACTAAGAAATGTTGATTATAAAACAAATAAATTTTTAGTTTTATTAAGTCTAATATTGTATATTCGAGGTGTTATGATAATCGTTTGGAAAAGGTACAAACCTTTCTTAGAACGGTTCCAGGTAATAGAATATCTCCAAGCATACTAAATAAGTTACTGGGTTGAAACAAATGTACATTCTAGAGCTCTAGATACCCGGGTATCGAACACTTTGAGCAGCTGGATACTCGTTCATTGCTCAACTGTTCAAATGATAGTTTGAAATTTTTCAAATTTCAATATTGTTTGCTGAAATTTCTTTAGTTTTTCAATGAGTTTTCCCCTTTGCATAAATAAAATTAAAATTATTGAAGAAAGTTCTTGGAAAAAGTCAAATTTTTTATTCCAAATGCTCGAAAAAGCTGGAATATTTCGAGCTCAAGCTCTTCATCAGAACATTTAGAGATGCTTCGGGTTTCAACTCTAATAAAGTTAAAGAGAGAAGCACCAAGAGTTCATTATTACGAATTTAACTTTAGCAACTGCATCATTTTTAAAACTTCCACAATGAATAAAAGGAAACCTATCTACGAAATACGAGTATGTTATTCTTTCAAACGTTTATGAGTAGAAGTTAATTTTTGGTCCTCCAATTTTGAATCAATAACTCACTCTTTTCCTTTGTGATTTGAACTCTCGAAGGACAGTTGGATGGAAATTGGTAACATTGGACGAGATCTAACGTCGAGAAAAACTTTCAGCCAAAGATTTAATAGCTTTTGGGTTGAAAAAAACTGTGCCCTTTTGGAAGCTAAAACCTTTGAAGAAATAGTAAAGGGTACCAATGATCGAAACATTTAAACAAAAAATACTTGACAAGGGAAGTTTTCGGCAAATTCTGGTTTAGGGCCTACTCCATCCTGTATGGAGCAATTGTAAAAAGATCTCAGAGCACACCAAAAAAGTACACAATCTACACTGAGGAAAGAGGACAGTAGTAGCACAAACAGGACATAAAAAGTCCAAAAAGTCTTAAACAATAAAAGAATGTTAAATTACCGTCTATCTTACTTGAGTTTAGGACATACATGCCGAGTAGAGAGAGAGTATTTTTAAGAATTGGAATTGGGTCTAATAAAAGCCGTATGAATAGCAGTGCGCATTACTATGCGGGCAGTCACGGGTTCGAAGCATAACTAGCAGTTCAAATAAAAAAAATATTTTTCAAAATGCGGTCGGCGCGCGACATATATTGTCAGTGAGAGTAATAGATTGTTGTTGTCAGTTGTGCCAAAGCGGCTTTAAAATGTAATTACCTCGAGGAAAATGAATTTCTTTGCAGCCTGAAATGAATACTTGTACGAATTGAGCCTTAGGAATCTGCAGAGTTACCTTTCTCTCTCCCACTTGACTGTCCACAGTAGAAGAACGCTTTAGTTGGCGCCTAGAACAGCACCAGAGGAAGTTTTTACTTAATGTTCGCTCATAAGACCGTAACTCACTTGAGACCTAAAGTGGTTAAATGGTTGGCGGAGCTCACATACTTCAGCTTCTCTGATAGTTTCGCATTGCTAATAACCTGATATTCTGAAAGCTCTGTTGCGGTATAATTTAAAAACTTTCAAGGAAAGCCTGAACATTCTAAATGCATCGCTTCGTTGGTGGCAACCCATAATGGCGAAGAATTGCACATTTTCACGCTCTAATTTTTCGCTGAATTCGTTTAAATTCCCAACAATAACACACACTGTTTGCTCTAACTTTAATTGGCCTTAAAGGTAAGACGGCAAATTGTTAGTCACTTAAAGACCAACAACCGAATGTACGCCGATTTGCTTCGACACAAGACTACTAGCAAAGCATGAATGATCGGAACTTGAAATGATTTTCGTTACAACTCAATGATTTTTTAAGCCGCTTAACCATTCAACAACTCTAAATGCCTTTCGCGTCACCCAGCCTACCGCACACAAACATGCGAGTACGTCAAAGTAGGTTTGCGTACCTACGAACTGCGACGGAAGTTGTGCTAACAACAATTGTGTATACGCCTCGTTGCACATTACCCAATAATGAGCCACCGGCGCTTGACTAACTGCCGCCTAATTTGAGTATGTCGGACGGCCGGACTTTTAAGGTATTTTGAAGCAAAACTATCGCTTAACTCACCTGAAAGCACCCACACCAACCCCGTCTACCACGAAATGCTGGCATTTTCTTTTGCTGTTGATGTCGATAGAACTTCTGTAAGGGCGTCTCCTTATTGTCGTCCGACTTTGGCGCCTTACCAAACGGATAACTGATGGTGCAGCCTAATATGTTGGTGGTGTAGTAAGAGCCGCCGCCGCTGCCGCTGCCTGATTCATCTCTGAGCGTCGCTGTTAAGATGTTACTATTGTTGTTATCGTTATGTTGTTGCTGCTGTTGCTCTTGCTGTTGCTGCTGCTGCCAATAACGCTGTATACTATGTAAACAATTGAGTTCTGGTAGACGCGCCTTCAAGCGATTGAAATCGAAACGCTGTTGGAAGGACGCTGATGATGTGTCGCTTGTGGCACTGTTCGTTAAGTGATTGTTGTTGTTAGCACTGTTAATATTACTGCTACTGTTGTTGTGATTGTTGTGTGCTTCGTTGTTGTTGTTACTGTTGCGTTGCTGTTGTGACGGCTTCTGTAGCGTACTATCCGGCGTCGTTTGTAGGCTGTCGTTGTTGGCACTGAGCGTGTCGGGTTCGTTGACACAGCCGATGGGACACGACTGGAGTGTCTGTTGGGTGAGAGAAGAATGGAAATAAGATATTATTAGTTTCTAAAAAAAAAATAATCATTAAGATATATTTATTTGATAGCAAAAGCTTTTTTTATGAAAAAACGTAAGAAAATAATAAATGCGTAAGTGAAAAGTCTCCAAATATACATACATAAATATGTATATTCCTATGAATTTATATATAATATAATTTAAATTCTAATATATTTTTCGTTTTCTTAATGTTTTTGAAAGAAATAAATATGTTATTAGAAAATTTATGCAAAGATATAAAAATAATAATGGGCCAAAGATATTCAAACTCTACATTCATATATGTTTTTGCTTTAAAAAGTTGCATGGTCTGACAGAATGTCTTAGAAGTCCTTATGTAGTGTTAAAAAGTGGCTAATGTTATAAAGTAAAAAGTCTCCAAACTCTACACTGATAAATGTGTTTTTAAAATGTTGTTTAACTTCAAAGAATGTCTTAAGGGTGCAAATGTAATTCTAAAAGTGGCTACTTAAGGCCAGTAAGTAAAGTTTTCAAACTCTACACATATATATCTTCACTCGGATATTTGTGTTTAAAAGGTTCAATAACTTTAAACAGAGTCGGTAGACGAGTTTTGCGAATGCATAATTAAAAGTACCTAATTAATCTAAGCTAAAAGGTCTCCACAACCTAAATATATCGTATTTCTAATAAAATTATAAAATTTGTATATAAGTTACTGTGAAATCATTAGTCGTTAGACTCCCAATTTATGTAAGTGAGGCTAATTCCAGTTTTTTTTTTAATAGATATCAAATTTATAAGTTTATATTATTCGTATAGAAAAGATATCAGAATTTTGGGGAGTTTTGGTTTTATGCAAATTTATTTTTTAATCTTTACTAAGTTCATATATAAGTGAGTATCAAAATTAAATTGCTTAAAAAGTCTACAGCACATCTTGTAGTTTAGAAAACTCCTCACACTCGTTACTGAACAATAAATTTTCAAAGTCTACACTAATACTGGACTGATTTTCGAAACATAATTCCTTTTAAGCTTATAATAACATATTTGATAAGTATGACACAGTTTTAAGTATTGCAACGATGAAACACAAAGTCACCAAACTCTACACTAAAGTCTCCAAGCTACAAAGACAAACAATTTTTTTCTAACTTAAATTTGTGCCACTTTTCTAAATTTGTGCATTTTTGTGTCTTTGTATTAAAAAAACAAAAAAAAATGTTTTTTTTCACATCCAACTTGGGCGATTTGTTGGCTGGCGAAGAGTCAAATAAATTCATTTTGGACATTTTCCCAATTAAACGCGCCTAAAAAAGAATTCTGCAACACCTTAACTTGGCTTGGTATTTGAGCAGTAATATATTGCAACCTTCAACTACTATAGAAGATTATAAATATGCACATTTGTACTTCATGTGTCCCCAGTTAAAGCTTAAGGCAAACGGCCGTATGAAAAACCACTAACCGGTTCTTCCTCTTCTTTTGCCGAGTTGAATGTCAATGTGCCAATGAAATTAAAGAAAAAATGTTTATAAATTATATATTTATATATTGCATATAAGAATTAAATGGCAAATATGAATAGATCAACGCTTAAAAATGGCATAAATTGCAAGCAGAGCAAATAAAATGGTTTCTCTTATGGCTCTACTATGATAAATGTCTATGTAAGTTAAGGTTCAAGAATAAATAAGCGCAAAGTAAGTGGTTGTGGTAGTTTGAATATACCTTTTTGCTATGAAATATATGTACGTATGCAAGTAGGTTGACGTCAAATAAAAGAAAACAATATACTCGTCAATAAAAATGTCTACAACAGGTGGGCTTGCCTTGTGGAGGCGTTGGACGCCGTTTGAAAAGGTGAAATATGTTATGGTTATTGGACACATAACAATTGTACATAAACATGTAGAACATTTGCAATATGTTTAATTGATATAAATATGAATGTATGTATGTACATATGCATGTATGTGTTTAAAGAAAAGGTTCATTAGGTCATTGTAGTGTTTTTTAAATTACTCAGTTTTACTTAAACAATTACAATTTGCTTCGAAGTATAATAAAATCTTCAGTTTTTGAAGTGAAATACTTACATTTCCATATTTACGCTTAATAACAACATTAAAGCGGTAGGAAATTTATATTAGAGAATACTACACATTTGAAAATCTCTGAACTCTACACATTTAATTTAAAAAATATTTATATATAGATTCATATATTTGCTTTCACAAAATTCTAGCTGCAAACTTAAAAAATATATGTCTCCAATTTCTACACTTTTAAATTTTTGCCTAAATTTAAAGATTACTTTTATTTAAGTCGCATTATATATTTAGATTTAATATATTCAAGCGGTAAAACTCAAAATATAAAAGTCTCCAATCTCCAAATTTTCAAAATTTGTTTAGTAAAGCCTACAATTTCTACCCTCAATGTTTGCCTCAATTTAAATAACACTTTTATTTAAGTCGTATTATGTATTTACATCTAAAACATTAAAGCTGTTAAACTTAAAATATAAAAGTCTACAGTTTCTACACTTTTCAACTTTTGCCTAAATTTAAAAATACTTCTATTTAAGTTGTATTATGTATTTACATCTAATATACTAAAGCGGTAAAACTTAAAATATAAAAGTCTCCAATTTCTACACTTCTAAATTTTCGCCTAAATTTAAAGAATACTTTTATTTAAGTCACATTATAAATTTACATCTAATACATTCATTTGGCAAAACTCAAAACATGAAAGTCTCCAATCTCTAGATTTTTAAAACTTGCCTACATTTAAAGAATACTTTTATTTAAGTCATCATACTTACATCTAAAACATTCAAGCTGTAGGACTTAAAATATAAAAGTCTCCAAACTTTAAACTTTTTCTTAATTGGTTTTTACGGCCATGTTGTATAATAATTTTTGTTATAAGTATTAAGTAAACTAAAACACCTGGTTGTTTGTATGAATTGAATATTTTGTTATACAACAAAGAAAAATGGTAGAAGTGACAACTGTTTCGGAGATCACCACCTCTCCTCAGCAGACTTCTTATGGCAGGGTTCGAACCAACAAATTCTGACTTAACAGGCTAGTGCTCTACCACTGCACCAACAACAGCCATATAATCTGTTGTTGTATTATTCAATTCATTATTAACCATGCACTATTAAGTGCTAATTTATTATTTTAATTATTTTTTTTAACTACTCTCCACTCAAATGGTAAAGTTTTAATATTAAAAGTCTCCAAACTCTACATATTTTATATTTTTATCCAAAGTATATATCTATAATATTTGGATTCACATGTTGACATCTAATGCACAGAAGCGGAAAAGTGGTAAAAAATAGAAATTCACACTTTTCCTTTTTTTTATTTATTATCCAAATTTTTACGTTATTTATAAAATTAAACTTGCCTAACTGAATTGCCTTCTTATTCAAATTTATTAAAAATAAAATGATTCGAAAGTGAAAAACTTAGTTTAAACTCGCTGGGGGTTTATATTATTTTATATAAAGTAGACGTTAAGCGGGACGTTAAGGCTTGATATCCAGATTTGAAGTTATCTTTAGTCCTCTTAACAGCAAAGCTCCTAGATGCCTAGAGGTGTTTCAGTGTCTCCCTCTTGCCGTCGTCCCTATACGTTCTTCATGCTTCATGTCATTGCTTCTAAGGACCAATCTGCTTGCGTGTGCTGCCAATAGGTTGTGGCCTGTAATTAGGCCCACAATCCTTTCTAAACAGTGTATGCAAAAGGTGTGAGTGCTTTCATTCGCTGTACTCTTGCGGTCTGCAGTTACATCTTCTATTACCTCCCTGCAATAAGCGTGAAGCTTGTAATTTACCTAATGCATCGCAATATAAATATTACGGCGACCACTCCTTCAACCATTGTTGGTACGTCCATTTTGATTCTCATTTCATATGGCTTGAAATCTTTTTCTCAGATAAAAAGTGGGAGTATGTGGTATATTTGGTCAACCATTCCCTTGTTTATGGAGTTAAGTTTGTAGATTCTAACAGAACCTCAAGTAGGTGAGCACATATGAGGGGGACCACCATGAGTAGGTTCGGACTTACTCTCCTACAACCAAGCAACCAACATAACCAATCTCTCTGCAATACTTTAGACTGCAGTGCCGATTGGTGATGGGCGGAGTAACCCTTCGAGAGCACCTGGCGGAGTAGCTCTCACGTTAGGTAGAATGCAGCGAACTGCTTCTTTTTACTAGGTTTTCCTTCATGAGATTTTCAGATAGACCTTTTTCCTGTTGTTCCATACTGAGATACTACAAGAACTATATACGCCAAATTTTTCAAATTTTATTTCCAAACTTCTATTTATTAATATTAATAAAACGAATATAAAGTTTTGACTTCACAAGTGTTGAAAAATCAAATCCTACGATTTTTTAAATAAATATATAATTAGTTGTTTACTGGTAATAAAAACATGAAAAAAATCTCCAAACAAGACCAAATTAATTTTTGCGCCTTTGAAGAATTTTTTAATTAGCTAAATGTCCATATCTCATTTTAGTGGCGAAATCGAAAACTCTCCAAAAAAGTTTCACTGCTGTTGAGCCTTTTGGCTATATTTATAACTCAACACCAGTATATTTTTATTAACAAATTTTAACTTGATTGATTTATGTTGAAAATAAAAAGTCCTTGGGCATAAAAACTCTACCAAATCAATATTTTAATAATTATGTACGACGATATTCCACTTTTAATTCCATTTTTCATTACTATTCTTAGACCTTTACAGCCACTACCCCCTATAAATTACGGTCTTTAGGTTAATTAAACTTTTTTTATACCTCATTAATTTCTTAGTTTTACTATAAAAGTATGTATGTAAACGATCAAATAAACATATCAATTGATTCTAAGCGTTATAATTTTTAACTTTTCGTTTTTTTCACTGACTCAACCTAATATGTATATTCGAAAGCGAAAGTTGTTTGCTTATACACACATACATAT